GTACAAAAATAATTTTTTTTTTTTTACATAAAGACAACAGCATGAACATAAAAAAAAATTATAAATGTTGAAATTTAAATTTTAAATATATTGAATGTCATATTTTAAAAATAATTATATAAATCAATTAAACTAAGCTTTATATTGAACAAAGAAGGTAATTTCTTTTTTGTGTTGTACAATTCAACTATTTTATAACTAAATAGGCAAGTATTTCAATCAATTACCATTACTTAGTAACACTAGTAGTATAGGATATAAAGGAGCTTGGATGTTTGATGGATGCTGTGAAAAAAACCCATGACATTATAGCTAGAAATTAACACTGAATATTTCTTGGGAAATGGTCCATGCTGCTTATGTTGGGACCGATCGAGCCCCACGTGTGAAGAGGCTATACACACATGTATATGTATGCATGCTTGCACACATGTATATGTATGCATCAAGATCATCATCTCCCACGTTTCAGTATTCATTTCTGTATTACCTTGACTGCTATGCCGTTATGGCCCTTAATTAATGACCATATGTGCCATGTCTTCTTGCGCTCGAACGTTCAAGAAAGTGATATGAAGCAGTTTTTAGTAGTAGGGTCGCTTAATTGGCTGGCTCTCACAGGCCATCCACGGTTATCGATGCCGGGGGTATTCGTTGCCGGCATGGCTCTAAAACTGTAAAAGAGAGAGGATCGATCCCTAGCAGGTTTATTCCAAGACTCTATGTATGCGAAAGCTCGCAAAGACTATTTTATTTTTTGAATAGTGCAAGGCGCAACATTCGCTGTAAATTCCCTCTAAATTATTAGCCTAAACTTTGCAGTCTGCACTCTGATGGATATAACTCGTTCTATAATCACGGTAGGATGTCTGTAAACACTATTTTTTTTTAATTGTTATTATTATTATTATTTTTTTATTTTTCTTCTGTTTCTTTTTTCTTCTTTTTTCTTCTTCATTATCCGGCTTAAATATAGTGCATTAAATGCACAATCATTAAAGTCTAAAATCGTCACCGCTAGCTGCCAGCGATCAACCGACAAACCGCCTAACACGTGTGGCAAACGTGAATTTTCGATTGAAAAATGAGATTCGAATCTTAAAAGATTTAGGATTTGAATCCCAACAAGCTTTATAAATAGAGCTTGTAATCTGCAAACAAAAAGGAGGAAGAAATCGAAACAAAAAACTGCAAAAAAAAAATTTACAAAAAAAAAAAAACAGACCTTTCTGTCAATAAAAAAAAATTTACAGAAACAAAAAAAAATAAAATAAAAAACAGTCCCCTAAAACGAGAAATCCAACGCCGGAGAAGCTACCTAAAAAAAAAATCAATTTTAGTTAAAAAAAATCGAAAGTTTGAGCCTCGATTTACGCTTATCAGGGTTATTTTCTGACGAAAATAAGGTCAGATCTAGAATGAGGACGAAAAAAGGAAGCTTTTAGGAGAATATGAAATTTTTCAACAACCGACAACGACGGTCGATTACCGACGAAAGACAGAGGAAAAGGCGTTGCCGCCGACAATTTTTTTTTCTTTTTCTGGTTAAGTAAAAAAAAAAAAGGTTTTTGTTTTCTGCTGAAGGAAAAGAATGAATGAAAATTTTTTTTTTTACTTTTATATAGAAGACTAAACCCAAAACGATGTCATTTCAATAATGCTCAAAACATCGTCGTTTTGAGACCTGAGGATCGACGCGTCGACCCGCAACCTGATCCGAGATCCGCACAATCGACCCAATGACCCGTTCTCCCTTCTGACCTTAGACCAGTCCAGGTGAATCGGACGAGACCGTCGCTGAACCATCAAATCGCCTAGACCAGACCAACGTCGAATCGACCGAATCGGTCCAGACCCTTGTTGACCGGATCGTTGATCGATCCAGTTCAAGTAAAAAAAAAAATTTTTTTAATTTTTTATATATTATTTTTATTATTATTATTATATTTATGCATGTAAAAATATTTAAATTTATCAAAATAAATTTCTATTATTTTATAATATTAATTAATATAATAAAAAATAAAAAAATAAATTTTTTCTGACAATTAGATTTAAAGGTACTTTAAGTAGTGATACCCATGAAATCTCTAGGTGAGAAGATTTTTTTTAATACTATCAGTATATTGGAGTATTTATAAAAAAATTTTAATACAATAAATTTTTTTTTATAAAATAACAAAAAATTAATTAATATATTAAAAAAATAATATAAATAAGGAAAAAAGAAATTTTATCCAATGATGAAATTTTAAAAGTATTTCGAGTAGTGATGCTTTACGAAATTCCTATGTGAGAAGATTTTTTTTAAAAAATATTACCAGTGTATTGAAATATTTATAGAAAAATTTTAATACAATAATTTTTTTTCTTCAAAATTAATAAAACAATTAATAAAATTTCTAGAAAAATGAATAAAATGCGTGCATTAACATATTATTATTTGTATTGCATGCATGGCGTAATCTTTTGTGAAAAAGATAAATTTGAGCCTCCAAAGATTAGATTCTAAGGTATTTCGAAAAGTAATGCCTAAGAAATATCTAGGTGAGAAAGAGTTCTTCTAATGTTACCGACGTACTGAAACATTTTAAGAATTATTTCAATAAAAAAGCTCTAATTTATTTTTCTCGAATAATATTTGAATATAAAGATAATAAATAAAAAATAAAAAAATCAAGAAAGTTAATTTTCAAACATCGAAAATAGGACTATTTTTTATCAAAATCAAAGGATAACACGTAGTTAATTAGTGTCGTTGTAGTCGGACGTTGTAGGGGTGCTAATCCTTCCCCACGCGTAACCAACTCCCGAACCTAGATTGTTTCGCAAACCATAAAATTATTTTTTTAATAAATTTTAATTAATTTTAATATTTCATTAAAAATATATGTTTTAATAGGTGGTCAATCGCACCTGACCAAAAAAGATTGATGGCGACTTTTTTTTTTATTTCTTTTTTAAATTCGTCATGCGGACATAAAACCATTACGACAATGTCATACCATAATATCTAAAGTATTAACATGTAAATTGTTAAGCAATATTACCCCACTTCTATTACGATTTTATATTTTTTATAATTTTATATTTAAATTAAATTTATTTATTTATTATCAATCGATTTTAAATTATATGTTTAACATGGGAAGCTCAAGGCCTATTATTTCTTTTGTGATTATCATATGATAGGTTTTTTTTTCTTCGACTATACGTGATAAGATCTACTAAAAGGTATTATCCCACATCTATTAAATTAGTTAACTGCTTACTAGGTAATAAATCTAAACTATCAATATTATGTAATAATAAATAGTCGAATTAGGAGCTAGCAAATTAAGTTCATGATTGTTATTTATTTTTTATTTTTAAACAAGTTACTTAATGAGTAATTAAGACATTAAAATATAAATTCATCATAATTGATTAAAATTAAGCAAAGAATAAAAATATAAAAAATTGAATAATTGAATAAGATTTCTAAAACACATTTTCTCTCACTCTCCCTCTTTTGGATAAGTAGTATTTGTATTATCCAAATAAATCAGTAAAATTGCTATAAAGTACAGCAGGCTGCTAGTAGTAGGGACTCGCCCGAACCTGACCTATTTTTATGGTTTATTAAACCCGAATCCGACTCGACCGACCCGAAATTAATAAAATATTATTTTTTAAATATAAAATATTATTTTTTAAATGTAAATATTAAAAAATATAATTATATAAATATATTAATTAATTAATTAAAAAATAATTTTTTATATAATATCGGGTCGGGTCGGGTTTTAGGCATACCCAAACCCGACCCGACTACTCCCTAACTATACCCAACCCGACTCGACCTTAAACCCGAAATTAAAAAAAAAACCCAACCCTATAAAATCGGGTCGGACCAAAACCCGTCGGGGACGGGTTTGATTACCGTCCCTAGCTAGTAGTCAACATCCTATACAAACATTGAGTTATTTAGGTCCAAACATCACATAAATTCCTATTTACAAAATCATTAGAATCTAACATAAATTTTCTTTCTAAACAATCTCCAACATAATTGTTTGTTGGATATACATAAAAACAAACTCATGCATTTAGCTGTAAAAATAAAATTAATTATACAAAAAATACCAATGTATGCTTTTCTATAGTCAATAGGCAAAAGCATTTTGCTTTTATAACTTTTAAAAGTGAAACAAAATAACAACCAAATGGAATATATTTGAAAAGAAATTTGTATATAAGTTCATACTTACTTTTATGGTAGTAGTAGCTTGAAAACTACTTTTTCTAAAAGAAAATTAAAGAAGAATAAGAAAACCATCTTGGTTGATTTAATATATATATTGAAAACTGAATTTAAGATATTCAGCGACCCATCTTAGTTAAACTCATTGTAGACCTAATGCCATGTGCTAGTTGAGATTTTCTCGTATAGGTGAAATTTCTTTTGCATCTTTTCCTTTGACTTTATCATGTGTAAATTTAAAAGAAATTACAGTTTTTTGTATATTGAATTCAAATTTATCTCAATCGATTAATGCAGTTATTTTTTAAAAATATTATTAAATAAATATAAATAAATTTTAGTATTTATAATTTTTTATTTTCAAATAATGATTTTTTTATAAAATATTAGACTTTTATTAGCATAAAATAATTTACCACTCAAAATTAAGTTAAAAAATATTTATGGAAAGCAATAAATAGAACAAAGCATTATTAATGGCATGGCAAATTGTTTAATACCATTATTTATCCACATAAGTAATAATAAGGGTGAAATAGTACTTCCATCCACAGCACAATAATTTGGCCTAACTCTCCTTCCCAAACGGACTTTCCCAAACATTACCCTCCCGTTATTCAAAGTCCGTACCACAATAGTGGGAATAATAGTGGGAATAATATACGTGGCATTATCTAATTAGTCCAAAGTTGGGCGATTCGCTTAAGTTCCAGATCTGCGTTACGGCGCCGTCAAATTTCCCCGTTACAGATTCCCCGTCGCTGTTAGAAGGACCGCTACCATCACCCACAAGCCACAACCACCCCCTTTAAAACCGCAAACAAATCCTCACCGTTCAACGTACTCTCCCCTCTCTCATCATCGCCATTATCATCATCATCATCATGAAAAGCTAAAAAAAAAAGAAACACACAAAACGAACGCTCAAAACCAACAAAATTGAATTATCTCTCTCGCTCTCTCTCAAAAAAGAGATCAAGAATTTTTATTTCCTTTCTAATTATGAGGAGAAAGTGTAGAATTGGAGAAATTGCTGTTATGGAGCTAGCTGACGTTCGAGTTCGAACGCGAGCCATGGCAACCGAAACAATTCAGAAGAAACGCAGAAGATTAAACGACGACGAAGAAGCTGAATTTAAACTAACTTCTTCAAACACCTCGAGGATGACGTATATCCAGTTAAGAAGCCGGAAAATTTTGGTGGATCATCATCGTCGTAATGAAAATCGTTGTTTGAGCCCTAACTCGGATCATGATGATGACGTGTCATGCTGTTCAAGTAATATCGGACCGAGCGAGAAAAGGATTATCGAATTGCCAGATCTGGAGGTGAATTTTGAAAGTTCTTTTTTTTTTTTTTGAAAAATTTAATAAGCTTTGTCTTTATGGATTCTTGGAATTTCAGTTTGTCCAGCTTTAATTGCTGCTATTAAATTAGAGAATTTTAAATTTTTTTTTCATTTTTAATACATTTTGCAGGATGAGAGTATCGAAGTTGAAACATCCACGCATTTTAGCAGCAGAGAAAGGTCTGTATAAATTTTATTGTTTTTATTTTAATATTTAAGTTACTGTAACTTACTTTGTCACGTCTCTTGAATTCGAATTTCAAAAGCAGCCGATCTAAATTTTCTTCTTTTTCCTTTTTAAATTTCTCTTTTTCTTTATATATATATTCCTCTCAAATTCTTTTGCTCTTCTTTGTCCATTCGGTGAATTGTAGCAGAAGAGAAACGACGCCGTCCAGTGAGCTCGGACCAGAACCAGAAGACCTGGATTCAACGTCGAGGCCATCAGAGGCGAACTCTCACCGTAGATCAACGGTGGAGATGATGTCAACCGAAGCTGAACTCGAAGAATTCTTTGCAACTGCCGAGAAAAAACTTCAAAAACAGTTTGCTGAAAAGTATGGTCATGCACAATCTCTTAAAAACCAATATTTTCTTTACTGTTTTTACATTTTCTTAGCAACCAAACGGTAATTTGAAACTAAAAAGTAAAATTTTCTTTTCGTTCACTGTTTTTAGGTACAACTACGATATTGCCAAGGATGAACCGTTGGAAGGACGTTATGAGTGGGTTCGATTAAAGCCATGAAGAAAAAGCCAAAACCAAAAAAAAAAAAAAAAGAAAGGAAAAAGCAGGGAATAATTTATTTAAAAGAAGAAAACAAAAGATCAACCAGGCGATTTCTCTTAGGTACTACTACTAATTTAAAATTTTAGTTTCTCTTTGCATTCGTATAGAATGACGAAGAAGAAGGGAGAAGCTGTTGATTGGGAATGAGAAAGAGGCTTCTTTGGAAGAAAAAAAAAAACAAAGAACGAAACAGTTATTGAATAACGAAATTCTGTTTGGAGTACATATTTTGCTGGTTTTAGGAAATTTTCAGTCCCCGAAATTCGTGTCTGTTTTTCTGCTAAAGTCTGCTGCTACGCTGCTTCTTTCTTCCCTCTTCTCTGGTACGGCTACTTCTTTCTTTTCGTCAGTTGTAGTCATTATTAGTAGCTTATGTATTAATTTCTTTTTTTGCATTAATTTAATTCAATAAAATTTACTAATACTAACTGAAAACTCTTTCTTTTTTATTTTTGTCCTTTTCTTTTTTTCAATTTTATTGTATAACCGTTTTTTTTAGATATATATTTTGGAAATACCGTCAAATATAAATATAGTATTTTAATTAAACAAAAAAACGAAAGAAAAACGAAAAAGAAAGAAAGAGAGAAAAGGAAAATAATCAGAAGAGGAAAGAGTCAATGGTGTTAATGTAGAGCACAGGAGAGGCAACTGTACGCATCATGCTGATTGCCGAGTAAGTTAGGGACACGTGCTTAGTATTGGAATGCTGATCTTATTCCGAATTAGGAATTTTTTTTATTAAAGATAACGAAGTTAGGAGAAAGGAAAAAAAAAAAGAAATGTAAAAACTTAAAATGGAATCTTAATTTTTGAAATTTCATCTTTTAAAAGTTGCTGGTGAATTCTTTAAACAAAGCTCTAAGTTCTCCAAATTCAGACTTTGCGAGTTCATTTCATTCCCATTTAATTATTTTTCCTCTGATAATTATTTTTGTCTCTATTTCATGATTTATTTCACCTTATTTATTTCTATGGCGAATAAAATTTGAATGATACTTTTTTATGTATGAGATTTATTTTATTTTAGAATTTATTCCTCATATAGTTTTTTTATGTATAAGAGATTTATTTATTTTTAGAATTTATTCCTCTTATAATATGCTTTTATATAATATATGTGTATATTATCATTTTTATTCAATAAAAATCTAATGTCCATTAATATAAATGTGAAAATTGATAAGTAGGTCAATAACCTTATTGCTGAGTGTGATAGATCACTATGGCGATGAATGAATGGGTCATGCAAAGTAATATATATATTATTGGATAAAGGAATGAATTATTAAATCAATTTTCATATCGCTCGTTACATATGATTGGACTTATTAAAAAAATATTATTAATATGTTTAATGTATGTAGGAACGATAGAATAATTTTTACAATAATAATTGATATAATAATTGAGAAGGGAATTATATATATATATATATATGTATATATCAGTGTAAATGTTACGTTTATTTTATCTTTAGATTAAAATAGTTAATTGTAAGTGTTATAAATTTAATTTTTATTCAAAAATAAAAAAGTATAAAACTTATATTAATATAAATGAATCTTTACTCATAATAATTTAACTAATAGGAAAATTAAATAATTACTAAAGGTTTTGTATGTTTAATAAAAAGTTGTTTATAACTTGGTTGTCCTTTCCACGTTGTATTGTGGAATGGTATTTCAAAAACGTGAAGACCTAATTTCCCTTTGAAAATATAGTAATGTTTAATCGAAGACGACCCAATGACACATTATGCCAAGCAAGTTAAAATGATAAATGCGACGGAGAAGTAGACTTTTGCCACCATTTTCCGAGACACGGAATCACCAACCAAACCTATATTCTATCTTTTATGTCTTGTTATGTTATTTAGAGCTCCTAATGAACAATTTTCACTCAAATCACATTATGTTGTCGTGTCAACAAATTTCATTGCTACCAAACACTAGGAATTAACGAATGCCAATGATGAGACTATGATGGAGAATTTATTAGGAACGGTGATGGTTTAATTTAAAATTCTTAAATTTTCATCCTTTTAGTTTTTTTATTTGATTTACGATTTAGATTTGAATTTAAAATTTTAATTTTAGAATCATTTTTAATATTTATTAAGCAAATAATTCATTGATACAACTGTGATCGTTTTAATATCATATATATTTGTCACTTAAATATATTATTTTGTATATATATTAAACCATTATATATATGAAAAAAATAAGAAATTAAAACCTTAGAATTAGGCATCAACAGTGTGTAAATGTGTACATAAATGTCTATAAAATTAAGAAAGATGAGATAGATTTTCCTCATAGGGAGGGACATTAGTCATTGACAGAATAATAAGGGTGTTATTTGCTTTCTTTTCCGGTAACTATCTTGTCTCCAAAAAGGCAAAATGCCACAATAGAAGTTTTTAGTTTATAATCTTATTTCCTTAGCTGGAGTATTTTCAAACTTTATTCCTAAAAGCAAGTAATTTTGTACAACTGCACTCAATGTCAGCCTGGCAATTCCATGTCACTCTTTTTCTTCCAATTCTCCTCTCTTTCTCCTCTGTGTATGGGTAAGCCTGCAATTATCTTCATATCTCTTCCATTTTTTCCTGGCTACTTCAAATTCGAAATTTCTTGTGAGCTTGAAGTGAAATAAGTACCCATTTGCCAAACTCTTCAAATCATTCGTTGTTCATTTACCTTCCAACACAAACATGATCTTCCGATTTTATTCAATAACCTTTTTTTCTTTTCCCCAATTTCCTCATTCCTTTCTCTTGTTTCTGTTTTTAGTTCTGAATTCTTTCTCCCTAATTTACAGTAGTATGGATTTTTACATTGATTATTAAGAGATCCATCTCGCTCTTTCATTAATCTGTTCTTCAATCATCTCGTTTTTTTTTTCACTGTATTTTTTTTTAATTATTCTAAAATTATCAAAATTCCATTAAATAGTGAAATCAAACTCTTCTTTTCTGGTGTCAACTCATAATAACCAAACTCTTCTTTTCTGGGGTTAACTCATAAATAGGCAACTTTCAATATGCAAAACCATGAATCCTTACAGCTTGGTTAAGGAACTGCTGGATGAAAACATAAGACGATGGAATCGGGAACTAGTCTATTCTTTGTTTGGGGAAGGAATGGTTAAGGAGATATGCTCAATACCAATAAGCGGAAAGGGAAAACCAGACATTCTGGTTTGGCACTATGATAAGGGACGGAGGTAGATGGTCAAGAGTTGATACAATCTACTGTGTCCCATTGAAAACACCGTAGAGCCAGCTGACAATAGCAATAGAGCAACGTGGAAAAATTTTTGCTCTGTTGAAGTGCCAAACAAGATAAAATTTCAATATGGAGACTTTATCATGGTGCATTGCCAGTCATGGTAAACCTTAATAAGAGGGAAATGAATGCAGCAAGAACCTGTTTCAGATGTGAAGAAGAGGAGGAAACAGAACTTTATGCAATCCACACAAGTGCTCTTATGTTAAAAATATTTGGCACCAACTGGCTCTTTTGATTGAAACTGATGGGAATGAAGGCATGACATTGACTAATTGGGTAAAACAGAACAAACAAGGCTTAATTATCAAGATAACAAACTTTCGTGGTGATAGTTTGTTCCACATGGATAGGCATGAATGCATCGCTGTATGGGGAAGAAGGAGAAACTTGTAAGAAATAGTCAACTTTATCAAGAGATACCAAACGGTATATAACTTAGCTCAACAAAAGGGTGGAATGCAGAACAGGCCAAATGACAACAAGTGGATGCCTGTTTTGTCTAGGTATTACAAGGGTAATTTTGATGGTTCATTGAATTTACATCAAAATACAGGGGGCACAGCAACATTTATGAGAGATCATGAGGGGTAAGTGATAGGGACAGCTAATTTTAAAATTGAAAATGTTGCAGATGCGCGCACAGTGGACGCAAGGGTAGCAGCCAAGGCAACGGAGTTTGCTTATGATCTGGGGTTAAACAGAATAATAGTTTAAGGAGATGCCCTTTGTGTGATCAATAGACTACAAGCTCGAGAGCCAGAACTATCTCCTATAGAAGTGATTATTGAAGATACCAGAGATGTACGGAGAAGTTTCATGATTGCAAGTGTGTGCGTACAACAAGAGAAGAGAACTCTGCGGCCAATTAGTTAGCCTAGGACGCAGTATGTAATCTAGAGGATAGGATATGGATAGAAGATTGTCCTGACTTTCTTATCAACATCTTTCATGCTGATTGTATTCAAGTTTCTTAAATAAAATGAAAAAGATAATAATGCAAAGAATTGATGAAAGAAGTCAAAATATTTTCATTTTGAAAAAAAAAATAGAAATTAAAGTTAAAAAAGTACCCTCATTTAAGAAAAAACTCACCACAAATAGTCTCGACCAAGAATTGGCCTTGCCATTAAAAGAAAAAAAAAAAGGACATCTCAAAAATTATTATAAGAAAAAAGAAAAGAAAAGAAAAACTAATAAACTAACTAACCTAACATATTGAATTCTTTTCACCTTAATATTTGCATGTGAGGTTTGGCATTGACAGCTTTATATTCATGTAATAATATCAGAAAAAAAATTATTTAACATATCATAGATAAAATTTTTAATTTTCATCAATAAAATTAAAAAACTACTGTATTACATATTCTATTAAAGTTTATTTAAAATAAATTAATTAATAAAAAATAAAAACATGTGATAATATTTAATTTATTGTGAAATTTAAAAATTACTAAGTGAATACCCGCCTTGCCGCCGGTCAAAATTTTTTTGTTTTTTCATTTTTATTCACCAACAAAAAAATTTAAAATTTAAAAGAAGTTTATTAAATTAAAAAAAAAAAGAAAAAGAAAACAAAAAAAGGAAAAGTAAAACAAAGGAAAAAAAGTTTGGTATAAGTAGAACCTACACACAAAAAAAATCTTTTAAAAAATATTTTTTATTTTTTGGTAATTTCTAAGGAAATTAATTAAATATTAGAAAGGAAAAAGTATTAAAAACCAAAAATGAAAAAAACCCAATAATGAAATCAAATTTGATTCACAATAATTTATTTAAAAAATAAGATAATTTATTAAATATGTATAAAAATAAATTAAAATTAAAATTAAAATACAAAAGGAAAAAAAAAAAGAGGAGCATAGGATTGCACCACGTGGTACATTTTAGAGCAAGTCAAAGGGGATCAAAGTTTATAATATAGATAGATGGATGGATATTGATTATATATGTAATGGTAATTTTAATATTAATTAAAACTATTAAATAGGGTATTTTTCTTTTTTCATTTTTTCCACTCGTATAGAATTTTTTTAAAAATTTTGATAGTATAGGTCATTTAGCCTCTCTTACACATGCATAATAAGCAATGAGAGATTTCATGGAAAAAAAAGAAAAAAGCATGAGGACCTTCCCTCTCCTTTGGGCTAGCCATCAGGAAGCTATTATTGTCCCTTGAGTAAAACATAGCCTTTGGGCCCAAATTGATTCTGGGCCTGATCCAATCTTAACCCAAATCCTACAACTTTTTTTTTATTATTTGTCTTTTCCTTCGAATTTTCAAGTTGAAGACGAAGATTTGAACTTGAAACTTCACTTCTTTGCTTAAAATTTAATGAAAAAAATTCTAAATTTTTCATTGAAGACAACTTTAGGTAGTATTTAGTTTCTAAAAATAATTTTATTTTTTATTTTTTTAAAAAATAGAAATTATAAATGAAAATGTTATTAGTGATTGAAAATGAAAACTAATTTTTGAAAAGCAAAAATGAAAATGAGTTGAAATGTAAAAATAAAAAATTATGTTTTCAATTATTAAAACAAAGGATGGATATTCCTTTTTTTTTTTTTTTAGGTTTTACAAGTTATCATATTTAAACATTTTTTAATGTCATTAACTAATAAATATATACTATATTTTTAATTAGATGATATTAATAATAATATCATTGAATATTTTATTTATTTTTTATTTTTAGAAAACAACTTTTATTTTTGTTTATTGAATACATTTTTTACAAAACAAAAAACATTTTCTCACACCAAACGGAACCTTAATCTTTTAAAGTACAGCTTCTCGATTTTACGTCAATATAAATTATACATACATTATTTGAAAAAGTTTGTTTTAATACAATATAAAATTTTTTAAATTCATAGAAAGCCATACTTTTACATAAAAAAAGCTAAAGCTTCTTTTTCTTTGTAGTGTAAATGACTTCTACACTTCTTCAGACTTAGAGGTTGATGCCAAGGAATTACATCTAGCTATATCCTGTTTCTCCGAAGCATATGCCATCAAATCCTTCACAACTTGGCGAAATCTCCTTCTGTAAGTTGGCAATTTTGATGCACTTCTCGCCATTCCAACCATCCTGCCGGTTTGTTTTTTACATCAAAATTACATCATCAAAGCAATATTCATTTCAGCTTATTGAACAAAACAAGTTGCAATCAGTAGTAAATAGAAAATAGCAGGGTAATGAAATGCAAACCTTCTACTTATGCCCTCAATTTGAGCAGCTCTGAGAGAATCTTGAGGGATTGAACTACCATTGTCCCAGGCATCCATCCGTTCTGTATTGCTGCCAAAAAGAACCAATTTTTCCAGCAGCCTAACTTCATTGTCTCCCAGTTTTATGACCCTGATTTGTTCCTTCAGGACCATTATTGGGTTAAAGAACCAATCAAACAGTTTGTCTTTTGGCCTATTCAGATGGTTTATTTCAACATCATCAAGCACTAACAAGCCATTAGAACCTGATCTGATAGAGTTGAGGAGAGTCTGCAAGAAACAATAACACGGTAAGCCGACACCAATAATTGCTGCTTCATTACCGCTCTTTGCCTTTAACCATTCACAAATGTCTACTGGAGTTATTACATCAGCATCCAATAGTTCCTTGCCCCTTATTTCACATAATTTCATCATATTCGTCCATATCTGTTACATTTAAAGAATGAAAGAAATCATTGTAGGTCAGTGCAGAGTTGTTCAAAAGCTGACGATTATCCAACCAAAGAGGTCGCATAGTTTTTTTTTTTTTTTCCCCATCAAAATGTTGCATAGTTGATTAAGATATGTTGCAGTATAAAACCAAAACAACAGCCACGTTGCAATAATGGATTCAGAGATGACCAAAAACTGTTGCATAATGGAAACCAACCTGAACCATTTTCACTTCATGTATTGCCTCTCTAACTGATATCGAATGAACTAAGCTTGGCATGAGCATTGCAGGTGCTTCGCCAGAAGTAGAATTGAATCTGCGACCCAGTACTCCAACAGAATAGTCAGATTCAGAACCACTTTTCTTTCGATAACGGGGCCTGGCTGTGAAAAAAATGCAATTTGAACTGTAAAAATATACTAGCATAATGTTCCATCAGAGCCAAAAAGTTCAAATTATTAGGAAAGCTAATTACTTTGGGAAGATTGTCCCCTCTCTGAGATAGAGCCAGTCATTTGTGTACTCATCAAATTCAGCAACCATTGCAATCACATATGCAACACCTCTCCGGAAAGATCTTTCCTGCATCCATGAAATTCTTTAAAATCGACAATATCAAAATAAGAACAGTTAAAGCATAACAAAGCATAAACCTACCTGATACACAATGACTGATCCATACAATCCGATGAAGAAACTTGAAAAAATAGCAGCTAATATGCTCCCAATGACAACAATTGGCCAGAAAAGGATTGTTAAACCAGCAATGGGGATGCAAACTGTTTCAAGAAATGGTCCTTCTCTGCTAATTAGATCATGCGTCAGTCGAAACCATCCCTTAAATAACAAGTATGGACTCTTAACTACAGCAATTATAGTGTAAAAGGGAATATCCACAATTAGTCCCAGCAATCCAACAATGATAAGTCCTGGCACATGAATGAACCTGCAAGACAGATTCAAAAACAAAAGGGTATATATATTGTTTGAGGCAAACTGATCACTAGTCCTGCAATGTAATGATAAAATGAGTAGTTTCATTTTCTTAACTCAAATTGGCAAGTAAAACAATATTGAATGGCAGCTATCAGTAAAACCAACATTACCGCAGAGTTCGGAGCTCATTGGAAACAGGGGATTCACGTAATTCCTTCAAGTAGAGCAGATATGAATGAAAGCATAAATCTGCAAAATCTCTAACTGCAGTGCTACTTCCTTTCACAGTTTCCCATGTTCCATCCTGATAGGTAATAAAAAGCAGAAAATTAACCAGAATCAAACAACGGGATATAAGAAAAAAGAAACGGAAAATAAATTCAGACAACAAACTGATGAAAAAACTATAAATTACCACTACACAATGAAAGAATCTCTTGGACTCATTCTCATGTCTAAAGGCTTCAAAAGATGAAACCCAGGGAGTGAAGAAGCCGTAGCAAACTCCAATAATAACACTTCCGGCTATGCTTAAAGCCAACCATATACCAAATAACGCAGGCAAAGCAATCAATATAGCAACTCTAAGGGGTGCATCAAATCTATTAGTCCTGCAATTACCGACTCTTTGTCAAACAAGTCAAGAAAATCAAATCCAGAGAGCCCACAACCAAAATAACTACGCAAAGAAACAACCCTTCAAAACTATTTGAAGAAAGATATTAATATCTTGGATTGGATGATTACCTTATGATTGTGTATACAGTCCAGGCTACATGTGCAGGTAACAGTCCCAGGATGACCCCCACATTCCCTATTATCAGTATCAAACCAGCGACAGGTCCAACAAGCAAACCTGGAATGATTCAATGAAAAATCATCGTGAGAACATCAAGAACAACCCAAATTAACTTAAACAAAAGAAACATCATGTTCCCAAAGAACATTAAGAGAAAAGGGAAAAAAAAAAAGGAACCTTTGAGAGCACCAAGAAAGAGAGCAGAACAGAAAGCAAACACTACATAAACGATCTTTAGCCAACCTGCTTCCATCCCAGAATACCATGAAAACTAGACAACCATAAGGCCAACCAAACAATTGGGATAGAAAAAAGGTTCCAGAGAATTAATATTCGTGCCCCTCAAGAAGAAGGTGACAGCTGACAAGAAATTCAAATAGAACACGAAGACTCAAAATCCAACCAAAAATAAATTTAAAAAAATCAATCAACAGATGATAGGAATCATAAAGAAGTGTTCAAAGTCCAACCAAAAAGTCCTAAGAGAGAGGGAGTTACTCGTTGCTGTTTTTACCTGAGACTTGGGTCATACATAGAAATAGGACCTCGAAAAGACACTGACAAACAAAGAAACAAAACTATGCCACGTCTTGCAATGGTTTAGATCTTCCAATCCAGGAGATTTCGTTTAAAGTTGCATGGAATTACCGTAGACTACAAGGTAGGGTACTGATAACAGTATAATCCGCGGGTAACAATTTTTTTTCTTTTTTTTTTTTTTCTGGTTTCAGCGTGGGGCTTATGCCGACCTCAAAGGCTGCTGACCTTTCCCTTTTACCAACACCCATGGTCAAACAAAATACGTACACCATTCTGGTCAATTTTTTTTTCTTTATTATACATTTTGTGTAGTATATGATAGTATATATACTTAATAATTATCCTTTTAGACAAATCATTTTCTCTATTTTTGGATCTTGTGACTTATTTAACTATGTATATTTGTGATTATAATAATATGTGTAATGTTCATGTGATGCTCATGCCTCGTCATATGATAAAAACTGTTAATATTTTTCAACAAATTTATAAATAATGATTTCAAGAACGGACATGTGGGTCAGTAAATTATGGAAAAAGTTTAATTGAATTTGTGTAATATGATGTATCAATTATGATTTATGGATTTCCTAGATTAGTTTTGTTTTATATTTATATCATAACAATGACACGCATGGTTAATTCATCCATCCAAACCCTTTGTGTTTATAATCATTTTAACGTTGTAAATAGGATTACTAATGTGCGCAAGACTAAGATTATCATTATGTTAAAAGAATGCATTAATAATTAAGAAGAGGCATGTTCTTGAATTCATAATTTAATGAGATTTATTCATGTAATTATTTTTAAAATATATTATTTAATAATTTTAAAATTTAACATTTATAATATATTTTTTTATTTTCAAATTACAATCTACTTTGTAAAAGAAGATATGTTTTCAACGATGACAAATGTGAAGAATATACACATGTGCTGCTTGTCTCGGGTAGAAATAAAAACAACATTGCTAGAACAGAACATAGTGGGAAGATGGCGAAGGTCTGTATCACACGTCACTAACAAAATACAGAAAATATATTTTAACGCCCTCTTATCATCTTATTCACATGCAAGACAGAAAGGATTCAATCATCTTTTTAACAACTCCTTATACATATTAATTAACCCTGGGAAGATGACAATAATAAGGTTGTCACGATTTCTTGGTGAGCAGTAGGAGTTGAAAACATTTGAGAAAATAAAAAATTAATTTAAATTTATAGTATTTGGTTTGGTTTAGATGGATTTTTTTTACTTGGTTGGAAAATTAAATATATATATTAAATTTGGATCAAATTTAAGATCAAGAGATAAAAAATTAAAAAAAATCAAATTGAATTATATATTTTTATTAATTTTATATATATTTTTAAATTTTTATAAAATAAAAATAATAATTTTATATCAAAATTTATTTAAATATATTAAAGTTTTATATGAAAATAATATATAAAAATTAAAAAATTAAATTTCAAAAATTGATAAATTGGATCGAATTTGTAAAATTCAATTCAATACAGATTGGATCATATGAATGACCGTTTGAAATTAAATTAAATTTTAAAAATTTATAATATTATATAATATCTTAAAAATTAAACTGAATTCAATCCGATCCAAACCGTTATTACCTTTAATGAGCCGATTTCTTATACTCTTGAATGAATATAGATGATACTAACTTTAACATATGACATCCCAATTTCATAAAGATCTACCGCTGGATAGATACCTTTGGCAGCTAATCCTCTTGATAGTACGGTAATAACATCTAAATGCACAAATGTTGTGGCAAGGGCAGGGTCGGTCAAATCATCCGCGGGTACATAAACTGCTTGAATAGAAGTTATGGATCCTTCCTTGGTAGAAGTAATTCTTTCTTGTAAAAAACCTATTTCGGTAGTAAAGGTGAGTTGATAACCCACAGCGGAAGGCATTCTACCCAATAAGGCAGATACTTCGGATCCCGCTTGGACAAAACGGAAGATATTGTCTATAAATAGAAGTACGTTTTGTTTATTAACATCTTGAAAATATTCCGCCATAGTTAGGGCAATCAACCTATAGACTTAAATTTAAAGTTATGAGATATTTTTTATAGGATAAAAATCATGAAACTTTTATGTTAAAATGGATAGTACCTCATAGATTAAGTGCAAATTTTCACATATTATATCAAAATGGTTATCAATTAGACGAGAGATAAGTGTTATATCATGAGAGTTTTCTTTAAAATTCTGATGAAATTAAGTGTTACACGTTATGAGTCATATTTAAAATTCAAACATTTGGTGTAATTTCAATTTTGTGATTCTGTCTACATTTTATATTAGATTTGATAGGAACGTCAAGTTTTAACAAAAAATTTTATGATATCTTAATCCCATATAAGAAGATTTTAATGATATGCTATGATATATAAATAAAAATTTAACATCAAATTTATGAAATGTCTTTTATGAGACAATAATAAAACTTTTGAGTTAAAAATGATAATATTTCACAAATTAAATATGAATCTTCACATAACATGTGTGCTTGCTTTGTTTCAACACAAAAATATGAACCAAAACCATGTATCAAAGGAGAATTTTTGCCATGTAGGTTCCTTTAGGTCCAATATTTGGTGAAAATTTTGAAATGTGTACGATATCGTAAGTTGTCAAATGTGGTTTATAATTTAATTTAATTAGTTCATTTAATTATTATTTTTTAAAAAATATCTAATAAATTTAAATTTTAAAATTTTTTAATATTTAATATAATCAAAATTTAAACTTTAATCATTAAAATTAAAAATATAATATTTTACCAACAAATTATACTATTATAATTTTTTTTATTAGACTTGCAATTTTTTTATAAAAAAATGAGACATTATTATTTTTATTTAGACATACCTCGACTCCAAATCTTGTGGAACTTTGTTCAAAAAGGTTCATTCTATAAAAAATATCTTGGCCTTTAGCATATTTTTACCTGTTAAGTCCAGTAAGTGCCAAACGAAAAGAAAATGGTCAAAGCAAAAGCCCAGCCCAGCCCAAAACAGTAATTGAGGCCTAGAAGAATCCGTGACACGTGGAGCCCACGTGAGAGATCACTTATTCCGCGCCTGAACCTTTACGTGGTGGTGGTGGTCCTTTCGATTTCGATGTCGAAAGACAAAACTTTTCAATGGGCGCGTAAATGAGACGAAAAACCAAAATGCTAATAATAATAAAAGAATCTTATAAAAAATAAACAGTTATAAACGGTCAATTTAGTCGTCTCCGTCAAAATTAATTCAACCTTTATCCTCGACCAAATTATAGCAGAAGTTTATATATTCTCTCAAAATTTAAAGTTTATTTATTATATTATAATTTATATAAATTTAATTTTCATAAAATTTTTATTTGATTATTTTACTTTAATTATTAAAAGTATTTACAGTTAACTTGATAAAGTGAATATTAATTTTATTGATATGATATTAAATTTGTTGATGTAATAATTAAAATGAGTGAAATTAATTGTCAAATTATAAAAATATTTTTTATATTCATTTGAAAATTGACTTTTAATATTTTTAATATAATTTATAAAAATTTCAATTTTATATAAATTAAATTTAATAATATTAATCTAATTATTAATAAAAATAATATTTTTTAAAAATAAAATTTTATCTTTTTAAATTAATATTTCAAATTTTTTAGAAAATTTTCATATTTCTTAAAATATTAAATTTGTTATATTAAATATTTTATTTTTTTAAAAAGTCATATTTTCATTTTAAAATCAAATTTTATTTATCTTTTAAAAATCAATATTTTGATTTTTTATAAATATTTAATTTATTTTTAGTATAATTTTTTATTTCATTTTTTGAAAGTTTTTGTATTTTTAAAATTTTAACATTTTTATTTAATTAAAATATTTAATTTTATTAATTTTATTTTGTAATTTCTATAAAATTTCTATATTTTAAAATTTTATTTAAAATATATATTTAAATTTTTTATTTTTTAAAAAGTGTTTATAAATTTTAAAATTTTTTATATGTTTTTTTATGCAATTCAAGTGAAAAATAAATCATAATCAGAAAACTCTTCATATTTTGTCATTATTCTGTTTTATCTTGAATTTTTATATTGTTCCACTTCAAATATATTGAAACAAAATAAATTCTAAAAACTCGTATCATCTCTATAATTTATTTATTTTCACATAAATATTAAAATATATGAAAATTTTCTAAAATATATTAAAAAAATATTGAAATTTTTATAAAACTTTTAAAATTTTAAAAACAAAAAATTAGATATTGTGATTAAATAAAAATGTTAAAATTTGAAAATGTATAAACATTAAAAAATGAAATTTATTTAAAAAATTAAAAATATTGAAAAAAATAAACTTAATGTGTTTTAACAAATAAAGAAAATTTCAAAATAATTCAAAATATTGAATTTAAAAAAATGATTTTTCAAAATTAAAATATTTAAAAAATATTAAATTTAATATTTTAAAATATAAAAAATTCTAAACAATTTGAAATATTGGTTTTAAAAAAAATGAAAATTTGATTTTTATAAAATGTAAAATAATATATTTTTTAATAATTGAATCAAAATTATCAAATTCAACTTGTATGAAGATGAAATTTTTATGAATCATATTAAAAGCAATAAAGTTTAAATTTTCGTGTGAATATATAGATCATTTGTTTAATTTGACAACTGTTTTTACTAATTTAAATTGTTTAATAAAGTCAATACCACTTTGATAAAGTTAATGCTTATATTATTGAGTTAACGACCACTTTTGTATTTTTAAAAGCAACAATTTGATAAAATTAGTAATTAAATTAAAATGAACATATCAAATAATATAAGAATTAAATTTATATGAATTATAATACATGGTAAGAGTGATAATTTTTCGTATCATATGAAATTTAATTTAATTTTTTAAGATATTATATGTTATTATAAATTTTTAAATTTTGATTTGAATTTGATTTGAGCTTTCATAAGATTCAATTTAAATTAAATTTTATCAGTTTAGTTCGATTTATTTATTTTTAAAATTTAAAATCTTTTTATTTTTATATATTATTTTAATATAAACTTTTAATATATTTAAATAGGTTTTTGATATAAAATAATTATTTTTATTTTATAAAACTTTAAAATATATATAAAATTAGTAAAAAATATGATTTAATTCAATTCATTTTTTTTTAATTTTAACTTTTTTATCCAAATCTAATATATATTTAATCGTTGAATTTAATTTGAATCAAATAAAAAAAATTGATCTAAACCTAATTAATTGACTTTTGATTTTTTCAAAAATTTTTTCCCTAATGCAGGGGTTAAATTCTTAATTTTGGCAGAGTAGTGGACCTCTAGCATAATTTTATGTAAAGAAACCATAAAAGAAGGGGTAAAAAATAAAGAAAAAAAGCCCTTACTTTCGAAGGAGGGAAATACGAGTGAGGCAGCTTCTGCTTCTTCTTCGGATTCCCTGATTTTTGACCGTATTGCCGATTATGGAGGATCAAAGAGTGAAGAAGGAAGCTGAAGAGATACAGCAGAGAACGACGTCGTTTGCTGATCGGAGACTTAAATCTGCTGGCGAAGAAGATTTAACTCTCGCTCAGTTATCCCACACTCCTATATTCAAGCCTTCTTCTTCGGTCTATCTCTTCTTCTCTCTCTCGCTTTCTGTTTGGTTACCTGGAATTTGAAAGAAAACAATAGAAACTATAGGAAATATGTTAGATCTCCTATTTGTAGCTGTAGGATTTTTCAAAAAAAAAAAAAATCTTTAGAAGGTTCCATACTTTCTTTGCTCTATTGATAATAATTTTCATTGCATTTTTTTTTAACTTTTGCGGGGAAAAAAGAAGAAAGCGAAGAGGTTAACTGAGAGAAAACAGAAGCGAATGAAGAGTCAATCCGAATCCATAATTGAACATGTATAACTTCTATCTCTCATTCTTTCTTTACTCTTATTGTATTAAATTGTTAAATATTTTCGTCACGGTTATTTGAAATATTTATTGTCCAATGACTGAACTGTGGTTTCAAAATTTCAAATTCATTGTTAGGGGAACCATTATTTGAATGGTTGTTTTGGTTCTAAGTTTGAATTTCAAAGATTGTTTTGAAAGTATCAAAAGAAACACTTTGTAGAATAATGCTAATAGATTAAACAAAACTGGCAACTAAAAAGCAAAAATTCAACTATTCAAGGATACAGAGGGTAAACTGATTTTCCACGGTCAAATTGGTTGCCTTATGGACTGGGAATGCAACCAGAGTATTTCTAAATTCAAACTTCCAGCAAGAACTGTGTCTTTTATAGCTCAAATTAAATTGGAATTATCTCTAACAAATAGATTTTTGGACAGGCAGTCTCAGATTCTGAAGGGAAGCTAAGAAGGTTAGTGAAGTATCTAAAAGAGATGCATCTACGTATGCTGTTTTACTGCCTGTGGATTCATTGTTTGATGATGTTTGGCTTTTTGTTTTGAAGCTCTAAGAAAAATAAGAGTGTAGATGATGGAAAATGCAACCCTGAAATTAAGTCACCAGCTATGATTCGGGCAGAGGAGGTTCAATCAAACCTAGAACCTGAATTTCCCAGTTTTGCAAAATCTTTGGTCAGATCACATGTTGGAAGCTGTTTTTGGATGGTTAGCTTTGTTAAATGCCTCAATTCCACTTTGGATAATTTTATTAAGAGAGAATTTGAGGTGTACTTTTCTTTTCTGTGACCTTTTTTTTTTCTCTTGATAGGGGCTTCCTGGGATGTTCTGTAGAGTCCATTTACCAAGGAAAGATACCACAATCACTTTGGAAGACGAGAGTGGGCACCAATTTCATGTAAAATACTACGCTCATAAAACGGGATTGAGTGCTGGTTGGAGACAGTTTTGTAGTGCCCATAATTTGCTCGAGGGTGATGTTTTGGTCTTCCAGTTAGTTGAACCAACCAAGTTCAAGGTGATGGTTTAAGTTATATTTCCAATAGCAATTCTTCTTGGTCTTCAACTTTTCCTGAGCTCTGAGGTTTATTTTTATTAAGTTTAATATGTGATTATATTTATGTTGACATTTTTGCCTAGTCATTGGAGTTCAATATTAAGAAGACAGTTCTAGGTATGCCAAATTTCTCCATGCCCCAATCCTTGATGGGCATCCACTATGATTGGGGGGTTTAATTTGGGGATTGGAGATCAATGCCCCTACTAAAAATGGGATGTTCTATAATAGTATGTGTTATAATATTAATATTGATAAAAAATTGCTGGTAAAACAAATGCTTATATTTGAAAGGTCAAATGAAGAAAATGCAATGCAAGAAAAATAAGATAGAGAAGGTGAGGGTGGGGATGCCATCCATTTCGGAGTGTACTCCTTGCCCTGTACTTGTCATGTTGACATTTGTAAAAAGTTCAGCATCGGATCTGTGGATCATATATATATGGTCCTTATCATCATTTTATGTTACTAGTTTGTTGGAACATATAAGGAGTAGTTTGGAAAAATGGATTTACTATGTAAAAGTAAAACCAATTCATGTCCATAAAAGAGTTTTTGCTTCATCTTGTATGTATGGTATATATATTAGAAAATCAGAAACAATTCCAAGCATTGTGAGAATGGAGTTTCTTTGCTTGTATTAGCTACAATCTTGTGGCAGCCCTATTTGTTTTCCCTTCACTACATCTTACAAAAAACGACGAAGGGGTAGAAGTATATATCTGTTAATGGAAATTTAGGTGATTGTTCTATCAGGAAGAGGGTTGATTGCCGTGTTGGATTGGCTGGGTTGTCAAACATTGTACATATATCTTTCTATAAGATAGATGAGGAACTGGGTATGTGTCTAGAATTTGGCCTTTTTCTCTCTAGAAAAAAAAGGAATTAGAAATTTGAAACTCAGCATGTTATCCACATGATCAAATGAAGATATTTAATGATCTAGGTGCAAGGGCACTTGCTACTTATGTGGTTTGATCAAATTGACCATCCTTGTGTGACAAAATTCTTATCGTGGATCATTGTCATGTGTTAAAAGTGTTGCCAGATGTGACAATATCTCCATCTCCTGATAAATAATAAAGTTTTACATGATCATGCATGTATTATGCCTATGAAGTTCAAGTGCAAGTGCCCTAATAATTTTAAAGCTGAGGAAAGAAAAGTTCAATTCTTTGCTGCTGTCCTGGTATAATTAGATGTTAGTTTTAAAATTCACCTTATCAAGGCTACCTAAGGATTGTTCATCTTAAGGCCACTGTGATCCCATTAAATGTTGTCAGTTTCTTTCATTAGCGGCTGCATAAACTTTGTTACACTGCATATAGCTTAGCATGTAACATAGCTCTTACACTTTTATCGGAAAAATAGATGATTCACAAATTTTTACTGCCTTGTCCTGGAAATCCACCTGCATTTAGAAACAATGCTAGTGAAAACCTTGTTCAGCAAAATAGAAACCATTTTGGAATCAAAGAAGTTGGCTGAGTAATTTTATACCAAAGAGCAACCTTTACTATGATGAGTTTTTTCATTGATGGTCTGAGAGAGACTGAAGCCTCTTTCTCTTCCTTTCTCCCTAAGATCTCTTTCAGTGCTTCAGTAAGCCTGGAAATTATTAAATTCTGAGACTCCAACCAGTACAAAAGGATCTGCTTAATAGTTCTAATTATTTTTGTGTCTAAACTTGCTTTAGAAAACTGTTTCTGATCATATGGTTTATGCCACTAACTAGTTATATAAGAGCTGATAAACCATCAGCTGTGGAACAAAAGCTCACAAATTCTTGCACTAACTTAAGATGTTATTTCTCATGTATTTTAAATCCAAGTTATCAAGGTTAGACCTTGGTAAAATGTTATCTGAAACACAATAGGCTTATGTTTAATTGACTGCCATATAACTCTGAGAATGCATAGCGGGGTTTGTTAACAAAGATGTTAAGAACCTTAGTTCCTTTTAGAATTGCAGTGCTGTGATAGCTTGGGAAGAAATGCTAAGAGGAACAGATTGCCGGAAAAGCAATCTAGATGTAGTTAGGGTGAATGTATGAAACCTGACTCTTAAAGATTCTAAATATTTATGTGCTTGATTAAGATGCCACATGTTGGAAGCCTAAGAAGGGTGGAAAAAAATGTCAGGGGTTGGTCTATAACATTGCAATGAGGGTTAGACATCTTACTAGCAGAATTTACTGTTTTATCAAGATTGATCTACGGCACTTAAGCAAGCCAATTTATCACTCTTCAAGGACCTTCATGTTGTGTTTTTGAAGTTTGTTTGATTTGCAGGAGTGGAGAGAGAAAGAGACTTAGTTCCAGCCAACTACACCAGAGCTTTAAAAGTTTGTATAGGAACAATGGGTGATAGAAAACTAGTGCAGAGTTCATATTAGGTTTATTCCAGGTCATTATAACAGTGAAACAAAGGACTGCTTGATAGTGTTTCTAACATGGCCCATCAGTAAAATTATAAAACCTGAGACTGCATTTACTTAAGGGGATGCTTGTGCATCAGGTTTCTTCCTCTGTTTGAATGAAGATTATCTTCTTTTTCTCTTAAATGCATGTATTCTTGCTTAAATTCAGTCATTTACATTAGTAATTACTATTATCTCTAACATATATCAACCTTTTTCTGTAGGTATACATAATAAGGGCAAATGATTTGACTGAATTGGATGGGGCCCTTGGCCTCCTAAATTTGGATGCTCATACAAAACAAAGTGATGCAGGCAAGTTTATTGGTGTCTTTGTTTGGTATCTTAAATATCATGCTTGCATGTCAGAAGGTTTGCATTATAACTGAATTTATGGAAAAAAAATAGATGATGCAGAAAACGATACAACGGTCTTTAGAAGTACAAAGAGGAAACGTCCAAACTCTCTTCCACTAGCTGATGTTCAAAAGAAGAATAAGAGATCTGGCCTACAGAGATTGGCTTGTAATATTGGGATGCTGGCAGAGCAATCTAAAAATGCTCATACAAAACAAAGTGATGCAGGCAAGTTGATTGGTGTCTTTGTTTGGTATCTTAAATATCATGCTTGCATGTCAGAAGGTTTGCATTATAACTGAATTTCTGGAAAAAAAAATAGATGATGCAGAAAGAGATACAACGGTCTTTAGAAGTATAAAGAGGAAACGTCCAATATCTCTCTCACTAGTTGTTGTTCAAAAGAAGAATAAGAGATCTGGCCTACAGAGATTGGCTTGTAATATTGGGATTCCAGCAGAGCAATCTGAAAATGATAGTGAAGAAGTTGGGTCTGAAGTTTGGGAAGGTTTCAAGCAATCTGTCCCTACCATTCAATTCAAAGACATAACAAGTTTTGAGAACTTCAAAATTTTGGTGGATGGCTTGGTTATAGATTCAGAGCTCTCTGAAGATATTCGCATTAAATACTACAAGCTGTGCTGTAGTCAAAATTCTTTCCTTCATGAAAATATTATCCAGGGTATAAATTTTAAATTGATAGTTGGAACTATTTTGGAGACTGTCAATATTTCTGATGCAATAAGAGCTTGCAAGCTTACAACATCTCGGGATGAATTTGATGGTTGGGATAAGACCTTGAAAGCTTTTGAGCTGTTGGGCATGAATGTTGGATTCTTACTAACTCGACTACGCCGGCTTGTAAACCTTGCGTTTGAATCAGCAGGTGCTGCTGACACGAGGAGGTACATTGAAGCTCAAACAGAACAAGCTCAGACACAGGATGAGATAAGAAATCTTGAAGCAAAACTTGCTGAGTTGAAGGGTGCCTGTAAAACTTTTGGAGTCGAAATTGAGAGTTTGCAATCTAAAGCAGAAACCTATAAGCTCAGATTCGAGGAAGAAGTTAAGGCTCCATGGTGAGATTGCCTTTAAGATGTACCGATGGTTCATATCTGCAGCTATTTTGTTGCCCTTATGCATAATCTCTGTGAGTCTAGCAAGATGACAACCCTAGTTTGCATCAAAGATATTGACAGGAGGTAGTACGAAATCTGTAAACTGTAGTGAGATTTGTAGTCACTTAGCTTTCATTGATTGTTGTGGTTTCTTTATTACTTGTTTTTTCTGAAGAACTTGGATGATTCTGTGACATTGGAGGATTGATAGTCATAGTACTGCTCGCTTGAATGAGGCTTAATTGCTTATGTCTTCCTCTGTGTCAAAGTTAATGGGAAAAATTGTGATCAGGTAAAGGAAAATTTTCTGAGATCGTGATTGAGGATGGCAAATAGGAAGGATCAACAAGAAGAGTCTGCTTCATCGCAAGGAGACAATCGAGATTATAATTTGAGACCATACGGACAGGAATACTCTGTGAGGCAAGTGTGTCCTGCTTGCAGTTTTTATTTTCATGCATTTAGTTCATGAATTGAACACTTTCTTACTGGTTTAATGAATACTTAGAAAGTAACTCAAAACGGGCGGATCTACTCATTTATTTAGGGTGTTCATGAACATTCTCAAAATTTAAAAATAAGAAAATTTGAACAAAAGATTTTCATTGATCATTTTAAATTTTCTATAGATATCTCAAACAATTGAAAAATAAAAAATTTTAAAAGAAAATTTGCACCGAACATTTTAAAATTTTGATATGAACATTTTTTTCTTTATAAAATTTATAAATTCATTGACTACTTTTTATAGATTTTTAAGTGATATTTTTGAAAAAAATATTTATGAATATTTTTTTGTTTATAAAATTTATAAATTCATTGACTAATTTTTATATATGTATTATAAGTGAACATTTTTGAAAAAAATTCGTTATGAACTTTTTTTTTTTCGTTTATAAAATTTATAAATTCATTGGTTAATTTATATAATATATATATATATTATAAGTGAATTTTTTCGGAAAAAAAAATCTTAATTCTCTACAAATACTCAAACCAGAATATCATAAGCAAATAGTCAACAATCATATAAACATATATGGACACTAGTGCATTAGCTGTCACACTCACAGCTGATCACTCGCCTGTCAGTCACCGTGTCCCCAGATTCAAACCTCGTCCGGTCCTCCGCCCCACCTCCCTATGAAACATTTTTTAAAATGTTTTTGATTAAAATACTGCCGTTCTTGTTTTATCTTTTTTTCTGCATTAATTCATAGACATTAGCTTCATTTCGGAAGAGGGAAGACGTCAAAAATTAAATTGGGGGGAAATTAGTTTCAACATTGTAATTTAATTAGGCCACATTCAAAGGATCTCTATCCCTCATGCTATCTCTTTTTTTTTTTTAAAAATGAATTAATATAATATGAATTCACATATGGTTTAAGGATCTCCATCATCCGAACACAAACAATATGCCAAAAAAAGGGGTGGGGGGTGGGGGAAGGGTTACTATACCTTCCAAAAGATAGTGAAAGACATGAACAGATCCAAGTTAAAGTGAAAATTATATGAGTGGTAGATCCGAGGCAAAAAAACACCCATGACTTCCTCAACATTAGAAATAAGTTCTTGAACTGCGAACATTTTGTACAAACGAACAGCCGAACACCAACTCCGAGGAGATAAAATGAAAAATAAGAATACTAATGACTAAACCCCGAAGCAAGAAGAGAAAAAAAAAAAAAAGAGAGATCAAAACCAACTCCATTAATACAATTTTAAAGACCTTCAAATTATCCTAACCTCCTCCAAAAATAAGAAAGCCACCCCCAATCTCCCCTCCAACAAAAAAAAATGGTCCACATCTCTACAAGTTATCCCCTCCAAGAAATGTAACTATAGTCCAATTTCTACATCCCTGCAACTTGACCCTCCTTCAGTTAAAAGGTCCTGCAACAAAGAACATTTATAAAATCAGATCAAACAAAGAGTCAAATAGTTAGCTTCATAAAGGGAAAAAAAAGTTGTTTTTCGCATTTTGTTACCCTTTATATCCTTTTAGTTGATCTTTTTACCTGTGAAGTCTTGCCAACGTGGGTCTCCTCATGAACAAAGCCGGACCTTTTACTATCCCCTTCGCTTTTGTCAGCCTTTTTGGAACCAATGTGGGTTCTCTTGAGGCCCAGAAATCCCTTCCACCTTGTGGAACCCTTAGGAGGCCTCAGGGTCACATTATCATCGTCATCCTCAACAAGAAGCTCTTCTCTCAAAGTCCTTTGCATTTGATTGCTAAAATTATCTTTAAATGGCAAAAGCTTACCCTTAAAGAAAAGCTCATCAGCACTCATCATGGAGTAGTTTGACACTGAGAATTCAAAGTCTGAGGACACTGGAGCCTCTCTTGTGCTCCTTTCTGGCTTCATAATCTGCTGAGTCTCAACAAAATCATTTGAGAAAGAGATTCTTGGACTCATTGGAGCGCAGTGATGATGCCTTTTGTGCTCGGAATTATACATGTCTTAAGCATGCCATGAGCTTTCAAAACAACATAGAAAAGAAGGAAAACCAAAAAGAAACCCTAATAAATTCTATAGGGACCCTCTTACACTGTTACAACTTACCAAGTAGATGTTTGTATTTATATCCAAGGAAGTAAGGGAGCTTAATGTATGATTTATTTGAATCCATGCATGTCATGCGCATGATGTGATGTTTTTTGTCATGACATGTTAATTGGCATTCAATGATGAGCAATTTTGAAGACAGAATCCTGACCCAGAAATAAAAAATTTGAAGACAGAATCCTCCAAGTATTAATTGGTTTTTTTACTATTTTCTCTTGGACAAGACTGAGGTGAAGTTACTAGGAAGCTTTCTTGTCCTCCAAAGTTCTACCAGAATCGATAAAATAATAAATAGATAAACCACTAACACTCTTTTCTAAAACCAATCCCCTTATGCTTCAATTTTCTGAAATAGACTTGGAAAACTTTCTATGAAGATTCCAAGAAACAATCCTTTGTTTTTCCACACCAGTGAATTCTTTTCCCTTTTCCTTTCTAGAATTTTATTATATACTATATATATGTACATTTATGAACATCACACTAATTTTTCCACTGCCATTTATCTCACTCTTACACTTCTTTTTAGTTTCAACTACAAAGATACTTCATATGATAATTTTGAACATTTAATTAATCCAGTGGCTAAAAGTAAAGTGGGTATTGGCCTGGGTAGCATCCAATGCAGCTGTCTCTTTTCATTACATTTGGTTGCAAAGACTGAATTATATTTTCACAAGAATAGCATCTGGCACTGATAAGCAATATACATGCATAGATGCACAGTTTACAAACTTAACCATTTTTTTTACTTTTTATTGTTTTTCAAACTTGTGGTTCGGTGGGGTCAAATGCAGAGAGATAGCTGAGGCATCACTAATTAAGAAGACAGTGACTAAATTTATAGTTTTTTTTTTTTTAATAATGGATGGGTTTTTGCGAAGAAATGGGTGTCATGTAGCCAGATTTAGGGATGTGGAAACAGTTTCTATTGCTGGCATAGAAAGCAACAGCAGTGTTTTTTAAGGGATATAGGGTGTTGGGCTTTTAATGTTCCTTTGAGAAAACAAGAAAAAGTCTTGCAGAGGCCAGAGAGATAAGCAACTGCCAAGTTAGGGGAGTGTATTGCATTTGCTTCTCCTTGACCCTGGCATGCTTTGACTTGTAAATAAAAAACCAGTGAATGAGCTGGCGATGCCGACGGATCAAAAGGACCACGTGATCTGAGGTTTGCTTTTTCTTTAAAATAACTTGAAAACAAATTTTAAGTCTTTATTCAGATTTTGTACATGTTGTAAGAGATCATTTTCACTTCTTTTTGGGTGCCCCTGTGATTAGTTATCTCCTAAAATCCTGGTTTAAGCTTCTCATGCAATCTTGGGATATGTAATCAGAAGTCGGAAGAGGTCATCTTTTTTGTAATAATTGCGGTTAGCCGGTCGATACCAAGGTTAGACACCCTAATGTTGATTTTTTTTTTTTCTGAAGATAAGGTAAATTAAAATATTCAAAAGGGGTACTTTTAATATTTTTTATTTTATAAGAGTACTTGAAGCCACTAGCACTTCAATCAGTAAAGCGAGCCACTCAACTCCCTTTCTTCAAATTCCTTCACATTTTATTTCATACCTTCTCTAAGTAGCTCCCAAAAGGTTTATCCCACTGCATATGCTTTGTCTAAATTGCAAAGAGTACAAAAATTTATTATTTAGTTTTAACAATTTTTTTAGTTAACCATCCTTTTAATTTTCTTAAAATCTTGGAAATGGATTGTACTCTCATTTCATTTCATTACCAAACAATATTAGATAAATTGTAATTATTTTGAGTTTCAATGAAAGTTTCATGAAAAATATTTGTTTTCTTATTTTATTTCTTTTTTTGAAAAAAAATATTGTTTGGGTTGTTTTTTCTCAGGGTTGATCTATTTCCTGATTGTATTCCATAACAATAAAAAAAGGCTTTAATAAATTTTTTTTTTTATTCTCTTCAATGTTTTTTGAAATGATTCATGAATGAGCTTTTGTTGAAATTTCATACAAGGAAAAAGAAACATGAGTGAAGAAGGAAGAACGTGATGAGTGATGACATGGCACTCTTTTATTAAAGGTGCCTTATTTTAGGAAATAAGTATAAAAGAACTTTATTTTGGGAATAAAAGATTTATAACAGTGGGGAAAAACTCCCCTGATGTTTAACTTCTATTTAACTTAAAAATTTAGGATTCAAATTCGAAGAAAGAAAGTGTTATGTGTTATTTTTTATTATATAGTTCAATGTACAAAAAAGAATTGGTTAAAGGGTTAAAAATATCTTGAATAATAATTTAATAATTATTTAAATTCATAATTTTTTATTGTAATTAATCAAATATTTAATCATCTATTTCGATTTAATTAAATTTTTAAATTGATAGAATCAAGTCATGTGGTAAATTTTAATCAATCAACCTTTGAATTGTAATCAATTAAAATTTTAAAAGGATTTTGAGAGAGAGAAAAAAATAAAGAAAAAAAGAAAGTTTTTATTTTTATTTTTATATATATTATTTATGTCATGTGGTAAACTTTAATTCATTTTATTTTTGTCACATGAAATTTTATTTTAGTTGACAAAAAAATTAATGGTATTAATTTTTCTTTCAAATAAGAATTTATCATCTAAAGTATTAGAAAATAATCAAAATATCATCAATATATACACAGTAAAATTGTTTATGTTTGCTGAAAATATTATCCATCCAACACTGAAATATTTGAGGGGCGTTGCATAGACCAAAAGGCATAACAATCCATTGGTAATAGCCTGCTGATACAAATATACATTAGAGGGGTTAATTGATTTTAATTAAAAAAAAGACTTGGATTTTTTAATGATAATTCATGGATTTTTTTTAATGCTCTAGCAAAGAGAATTTGAGATAAATTTTAATAATTCATATATTTATATCATGTCTATTTATGTCAAATATGTATAAAAAAATAAAAATTTTGATATCATAATTTATGTCAACATGTTAAATATGACATTGAGGATTATCTTCCTATGCTTCATTTTTCTTTTTCCAAACTTTTTCTCTGCTCTGAACATGGAAATTCATTTGAGAAAAAGATATTACAGTATCGAAAAACATTGGCATGAGATGCAATAGTCTATTAATTTTATCATGAATTTGGGAATAGAAATAAAATAATGCACATATTCTTTTGGCCAGAAGATAAAAAATCCCACCAACCCTTTGTCTCTTCTTGGAGCTGTTAAATTTTTTAGCTTATACTAGGAATTCTTTATCTATTGACATTAATAAACAATTGTTTGCTCCTTTAACATATCAACAACACCTTAGATGTTGTCTTCAGTTGTTTGACTTAGTGACCAAGCCTTAAAAAAAATATCAAGGTCAGAATTCAAACCTCCTTCTCTCTTTCTCTTAATGTAGAGCTCTGCCCATTAAATGAAAAAAAAAAATACCTTAGATGTTGAGTATCTGATTAAATATCAACAATTTGGTTTGGTCTAGAATCTTGCAAAGAATTTAGGAGTACTCTGATGATCAGGTTTTTTAGGGTTTTTTTTTACTGAGCAAAAGACAGATAAAAAGAAACAGTTTCAAAGATCATATGTGAGCTATGGGAGGTCTGAGTAACATATGGGGGGGGGGGGGGGGAGAAGAAAAGAAAGAAGACTAGTATGCTTTTAAAAGTTGAATTGAATTTTTACCTGTAAAAGGACATGGTTGTCACTCACTCATATCACTCAACAAAGCTTTTTTTTTTTTTTTGTAGATTCAGCCAAATGGGGTTGTGAGGCGCGGTGAATTCTCATGAATGAGTGCCTGCAAAAGAGGACCAGTCAAAACTGACATTGAGTCCAAAACACAAACAGTTGTTTTTGGGTGAAGCTGTCGCTTTTAGGGCTTCATGCCTTCATCTAAGCTTCACCGTCTCTATTCCGGGTGGTGGCCTCCTTTCTTGCCAGCAACAGCTTGAAATTTTATCATAGAATTTTTTTTAGAGTATTACAAAACTTTAAGAAAACCATATTTTTCTTTCATCTTTTTGAGTGTAGGGATTTTTTTCTCTGATCTCTCCCATGAGAGACATGGTTTAATGTGTCAAAAATATATTTGCTCGTTTCCCAAAGTTGGATCACAAGGAAAATGCAGTTCTTTAGTTAAGTATTGTTGTTGCACCTTTCATGTAATTTGGGCTAAATGTTTAATCTAAATTAAATGTTTGTGTAATTATTTAATTTAAAATTAAATATTTTATTTTATAAAAAATAAAAATTACATGTTATTGATATCTAATAACAAAATCTTATTAGATAAAAAAATTTAAGTGAAACGCATGTATTAAAAATTTAATATCAAGTTAATTTGATTTTTTTTTTTGTTAATTTGACTATCCAATGGTCCGAAGGACCTTTTACTTTAATCTTTTTTTCACTGTTTTATCTATCACTTCATTCTTTTTCTCTCACATCCACTCTCTTTTGTTTTTCAAATCATATTTTTCTAAATACTATCAAATAAGAATTCCGTACATATATGAAAGTGAAATTTGTGTTTTTATTGTATATGATTGAATTAGTATATAAAAGTAATCTTTAACTTTTTTTTTCGTCGACAACATAGCAACTTTGCTACAAAACAATAAAAAATAGAGAATAAAAGTTTAGAGTTTTATAATTTTAAAGTAAGAGAGAGAAGTGGTTGGTTTAATTGATTAATGTTTATTTTTATTGATGAAGAGATTTTGAATTTAAATTTTATTGGTGATCATTTATTGGGATAATTTCAAATGTATGATTTATAATTGTTTATTTTAAATTATTAAATATAATATATTTTACTTTAATTTGAAAGATTAAATAATTTATTTATCTTTAAATTTTAAAAAAAAAATAAAAAATAAAAAGAAAAGACACTGAGTATTTGTCTATTATGAAGATAAGAGAATGAAAAAAAAAAAAAGGTCCAGCATTTCTCATGTTGCTAGCTTGGATTTGCTAAATGGTTTCCATTTTGTGTGTTCAAGAAAATTCAATGTCTCTGTTCTTAGACACCTGCTTTATCTTAATACGAAAACAATTATCAATAATTTTCAATTCCTAAATTTCTATCAAACATCAAGACCCAATTTTAGCAAAAATGTCTACCTCACAAAAATATAAATTTTCATACTCAAATCAATAACAAATAAATAAAATAAAAGCATAAATTCAGCAAAAATAAAAAATTAAAAAGAAACAAAGACATATATTGAAAATGATAAGGAAGATGGGTTTCAGGTTAGTAGAGAACATGGCAAAATAGTGAAGAGTTTTTAGTGAAAGGCTATGAATATTTGAAGAATTAGAAGACTGGAAGGCTATAGATATTTAAATAACTAGAACTCATGAAGCAGATTTGATAAAAAAAATGGTGGAAGAGTATGGGTATCTGAAGAACAAGAAGAAGTATGGAAGAGAGTGGAAAAAGAGAGAGAGTTAGCTGGTAGAGAGAAAATGAAAAAAAAAAAAATTAATAGTAAATTTTTATTTAAACATTTTTTATTTTTTATGACTCAACTTTGTTTTTTTGTCATTTGTTATTATTAAAAAAGTTAACGTGTATACCTAATCTCTTAAAAAATTTTATATCATTATAAATAGATAGTATTTAATATTTATTTGTATAAAATAAAATATTTAATTTTGAATTAAATAATCATCCAAATATTTACTCCGAAATGAGCATATAGCCAATTTTGGAGTAGAGGAATACATGTGGGTCAGGTCTTGCTATATTTGTTATGTGTTATTCTTCATCCGTGGGAGCTGCCAAATTTGCAATCAAATTTCGTTTTGCTTCCCTTTCACTATGGTTAAAATCCCAAATCCTTCATTCTCCTCCCTAGTTTTAGAGCAATCACAAATCCTTCATTCTCCTTCCTAGTTTTACAGCAACACTGGCTCTGGCTTCCAACTTGTTCTTTAAACATTTATGGAATCTATTTCTAAGTTTATATATATATTTTATAGTAAGTTTATATTTTATATCGTATCATTTACTATAAGGATAATGAAATCTTTTGTACCAACATTGAAAATTTTATACAAAATTCAAGGCCCAACCATTTGAGTCTATATGTAATGTTAAACCAGCTTTACAATTTTTGGGCTTCCTGCAAAGCCTGGTATAGGCTGTATATGTAGTTGCTTTTCAGATGAAGGAACCAAGCCATCAGCTTGAAAAATCAGAATGCAAGGAAATTTTAAAATTCTATCCATCAATTTGCAGAAAAAGACATAAAAATTATTACAGAAGCTGGATTGAAATAAGCAGAAAACCCACAAGGAAGCCTAGAATTAAGCTTCATTATCAAACACACACATATTTGTAGAATTAGTTATACTTGCCTGCATGGCTGCAACACACTGAAGATCACCAATCACTTTGACAAATTTTCATATGCAAGCGTTGTTGAGCATAATTCACCAGCTTTTCAATCTCCTTGGCATTCTCAATTTGGCCATCATGATTGATATCTGCCTCTTTCATTCCTTCACGTGCCTTCCACCATCTAAACCAAACTCTCAGGCTATGTAGAGCATCTTTCAGCTCTTCCTGGCTGATCCGTCCGTCATGATCAGCATCGAAGTGGCGGAGCCAGGCTTTGAATTCATCCACCGTCATTTCCCTGCTGGGATGGACCTCAATACACCGCATGATCGCCATCTCTTTCTTTGATGGAAGAACTCTGAAAATGAAAGGTGATATTGATGTGCTTTTTATGGTATTAGTTGAATTTCTCTTAAAGGTGATGCTTCGAATAGATTGATTTTAGTGGCAAAAAGAATCTACCAGCCATGGGTGGCAAGGCACGTTCTTTCCTATTGCTATTGGCATCTTTTAGCATATCTTTAGATGATATTTTCTTTGTTCAAATTCATGCAACTTTATTCTGCAATCATGGGACCAAAGAAATACAGCATTTCCTTTTTGAGTTTTAACTGCTAGCCTTGAGGTTCTATCTAAATGCATCATGTTTAACTTAAGTTTAGATTTTAGCAGTGGTCACAGCTACAAATTTTATTCGGTGGGTCAAAAGTCTATTAAAATTTAAAGTGAAAAATATGACAAATTTTTAATTTTAAAGTTAAAAATTTGACTTATCAAAAAAGAATAAAATATATCTAAAGGGACCATTGGAAATTGAGAATGAAAACAGCTCCTCAGTACTTAAAAATATTATGGTATGATTTTCATCCACATGGTTAATAGGAAGTCTTACCACTTTTCTCAAAAACAGTAAAAAAAAAAAAAATCTAGGTGGGGTCCTAGATTCAGGGGCCAATGCTAACATGTTCATATAAATTCAGTACTAGCTAGTTTTTGAGGGAAAAAAGTCTAAATTATTGCATGTAAAGAACTCCAAAAAACATTGAAAATCATATTTGAGTTTAAATGACAATTTGATTAGAAATCAGTAAAAACCTAGATTTTTGCAGACATGTGAAACCATTTTTTTTTCCTTCTTGGGGAGGGTTACTTGCATTGGGTCATTCATTTCAAAGCCTTTCATTTTGACCTGGGGAACAGTACTTTCTAGGAAATGGAATTCAAGCTCTTAGCAAACCTATGAGTTCTTTTTCAACTACAATGGTTTCTTACCACAAATTCCAAGTTATAATCAGAAACCTTCAACTAAAATTAACAAGAAAGAAATGTATAATTCATCTCATGGCAATGCAAAACGTGCACCAGCAGGGTATCCGACAACTGCCATGAATATACCTCCTTCCCATGTCTCACCCTTCCATGGAACAGCAAGTGCTACACGGTGGTCTACTGGTCTTTGCCATTGTTGTGATGACCCTGCCAATTGTCTGATTACTTGTTTCTCTCCATGTGTTACCTTTGGACAAATTGCTGAGATAGTTAGCAAGGGTCTATATGTAAGCTTCTAAAACACCAATTTAAGTACATTTTCCCCCATTCTGTGATTCTGAAGTACTGAAAAAATAATCTTGGTCTTAATTTTTGGTATGCAGCTTGTGTAGCAAGTGGTGCGGTTTATGGACTGCTGGCTCCTACAGGCATGTCCTGCTTGTACTCTTGTGTTTACAGGTCAAGATTGAGATGACAATATGACTTGGAAGAGGCTCCTTGTGCAGATTGCTTGGTTCATTTTTGCTGTGAGACTTGTTCACTTTGTCAAGAACACAGAGAGCTCAAGAACCGTGGATTTGATATGGGGATTGGTAAGTTGGCTCGGGTTTTGTCTTTATGCTATCTGATTGGCATTAGCCCACTGTCATCGTTACCTGCCCTGTGTTTAACTGATCAGAATAAGTTACAATATTGATCGAAGAGATCAGAATAAAGTTATAATTTGACTTCAATTCCATGGTCAGCATAGTGATAGAAAACTAGTGGCACAAATTTACAACATTTTTATTTATTTTTCTCGTCTATTTTGAAGTTGTTCCTTTTTATTTACTGATTAATCAAATTTTCAAGGTTGGAAAGCAAACATGGATCGAAAGGGCAGAGGGATTACAGTTGCTCCTGTTGTAGGAAGTATGGCCCGATGATCGATGATACAGAAACTCCTACTCCTGCAACATCTTCAATTAAATGTTCATCTGTATCTGTTCTATTTTATACACCATGATCCGGCTTGTGTAGTATTTAGTTTATGCTTATTTTGATATGTGCTTTTTACGCTGAAAACTGCAAATTAGTCATTCCCCTTGGAAGTGCCAATAGATCAGATTGGAAATTGGTAGTCTAACCAATAACCATGTTAGGCATTATATAGTAACTAGAACTCTAGAAAAAATGGGAAAACAAGAATTTTGATCAACCTGCCAAGAAATTAACCGTAAAATATTGGGGAATTCGCTTCCCATTTTTGTAGGGCATAACAACACCAGATCACTGAGATGGCCTCATGGTGCAAGTCATCATGGTCATAAATTCATTCATGTCAATCAGACCATCTCCATCGGCATCCACCCCTCGAATCATTTTGCGACAAGCGTCCAAGCTACACCTCTCTCCCATCTTCTTAAGCACCTGCATCAATTCTTCGGCACTTATTTTCCCATTGCCATCCAAATCATACAGCCGAAATGCACTTTGGATATCACTGGCATTGATCCCTTCTCCTATGTTACGCATCATCTCAATGAACTCCTTGTAATCGATGAAGCCATCCCCATCGGTGTCAATAGCGCTAAATGCCTTTGCCCCTTCTGTTTCTGCCACTCCTTTGCCTAGTACTTTTAATGCTGACTCGTACTCTTCCTTCGAGATCTTACCATCTTTGTTGGTGTCTAATTTGTCGAACACCCATTTCATCTCTTCCACATTTGGCTGATAAGTCCTTGATGTCACGTTCGATTTTTGTCTTTCCTTGTTGATGTTCAACTGTTTTGGTTTTCTTGACAACTTCCTCAGAAATCCTCCGCATTTGAACCCGATAAAACCCAATTTTGACATATTGTACGATGTTGCTGTATAGGAAATGCAATGTAAAACTGATAGTCTGATACAATCTCCTATGTCAGGCACCTCTCTATATATAACCTTCGACAATTTTACATAATTTCTTATCCTTGTTATCTAACAAGGAATCAAATTGCAAGATCAAGTGGAATCTCTCCTTTAATTTCAGGATCTAAAAGAAAAAAAAAAGATGTCACCATTGGGTTTGATATTCTTATTCCAAAGTGATCATTTCCATCCATACAACTCGAGATTCTACGCGGAAGCCATGGCGTAACAAAAAAGGGTTAATACTTACTAGGCCAAGCTAAAGCATAAATAAGGTGTTCTTTCATTACAAGTTGAATCATAGGCACTACCATACAAGATATTCCAATTCGACTCACCTTTCGGCAAGATCAATGTTAATTATACAAAAGTGAAAGATACGTTTAGAATATGTATTCCTAAAGGAGGAATTACGTACAGATTATTGGAACTGTTTCACGTAAGAAAAAATAGTTATGGAACAGAGGATTTGCAAACTATGGCTAGTTTTTATTTACAAAAGAGATCACAGGACAGAGATAAGGAAAGGTTACCAGTGCTAAGGTTAAAACTGAAATCTCTTTTTATTTAAAAAAGAGATTGCAATCTAGAGATAAAAAAATGATTGCAGGCGCTAGAATTTGAATCTCAAACTTATTATTTCTTAACAATGACTACATGAACCGACTGAAGGGTGACTACATAATCGACCGTGGCTTTTCTGACTAATTCTCTAGCACACGGATATACCATTAACAGAAAGGAGGAATATGAAACTGTGAGTGAGAATGAATCGGAACCAGTTTTAAGTTCTTTGCAAACAAAATTTCCAAAAGCCTGAAGGATTTACTACACATAAATGCAATGATGTTGATTGATGCAAGATTGTCAACCGTGAATTTTAGGTGCAGAGTAGGACGCGAAGAAGGAATCTAGCTAGGAAGACTTTATTCTTTGCTTGAAACCCGATAGTTCAAAAGAAAAGACTGAAAAAGGAAGACAAACAGTTCAGGGAAACAATGGACTTTGTAGTGTTCTAGGACATTGTTTGAAGATCAAACACTTACCTCCCATTTCTTGCAAAATTATAATAGCTGTGACTCAAAAAAAAAAAAAAGTTTTCCAGAATTTGTAAGAGAGATTTTTCTTCATCTACATGTGTTATAGATGAAAGCTGTCTAGAGTAAACAAGTTTAGTGATTTAGGATGCAAAAACCATGGAATTTGTTTTTGTTCCTTTAAAACCATTGCAGAAACTAGGGTCTTCTGCATGATACAATTGTGGTTTTCATATTAAAAACACTCAACCAGACAGCAGGCCCAAAATGTAGTAAGCCTATACAAAACGGTCTCTCACAACCCAAATATATACAAAATTTTAATACATTGAACTCCAAAAAGGTGGAAAAAAAAGACATGTACTACAAACCATTTAAGTAATTTATAGCTTGAAAACAAGCTACTTCACCAGCATTACTGATATTAATCCCTGGATTTTGCTCTGTTCTTCCTCCTCCTGTCCCGCATTAACTCCAGTCAGCTGCCTGGCTCTTTTTGCTTGCAGTAACCAATCTGTTCTCGCCACCACTATGATCATGACCATAGCACACACAACTTGGGCTGCTAATAAGCCGAACCAAAGGCCCAACAAGTCTATATCCATGACAAAACCCATTAAAACAGCGATAGGCAATCCTACACCGTAGAAGGATCCCAAATTTATGTTGGCACCCAAAGTTGGCCTAGCACTTCCTCTTAACAACCCACAGCCAGTGGTTTGTGGGCAGTTCCCTAGCTCACAGAACCCTGCCACAGGCATTACCATTGCAGTCAACGACAAAATCGCTTTATCATTAGTGAAAATTTGTCCCCAACCATTTCTCATCGTTGTCATGAACGACATAGCCAGGAAACTAGTGAAAATGGAACATGACAATGCAATCATGGACGAGGTTTTAGCTTTGCTTGGCTGGTTTGCTCCCAACTCAATACCAACCAGTGTCGACACGGCTAGACTCAAAGATGAAGGGAAGATATAGATAAGTGAAGTTGCTTGTATTAGGATCCCCATTGTAGCAACTGCCTCTGGGGCATTGGTAAGAAGCCCTGAAAGGACTATCATAAGCTCATACCACCACCATTCCAAGCAAACAGATATGCAACTAGGTATAGCTAGGGAAAGTATTGGTTTCCATTCATAAAAGCATTCCAGGGACCAACCTTGCCATGTTTTATCACAAATGCCAGAGAAGCATAGGTAAAGCAAAAGGGTTATAAGCAAATTCAAATCTGTTAAGGCAACTGCTACAGCTATACCTTGAATGCCAAGGCTAAGATGATAGACGAGGATGTAGTTGATAGGAGCATGTAAAGCAAGGGCAAAAGCTGCAGTTAACATAAGAGGGAGGGTTATGTTTTGGGTTCTTAGGTAAATTCTAAGAGGGTTTATTAGAGATTGGAAGAGCAGATCTGGGAGAGAGAATGCAAGATAAGTTGAGGCAACTGAGGAGATTACGGGGTCTTGTCCACAAAAGAGAAGGATAGGCTCAATGTTTAGCCACAACACTGAAATGGGCAAACAGGCTATTGTCAGAATGGCTATGGTGCGTTGTAGGGTTTGGCCCATAAGAGGCCACTGCTTGGCTCCACAGGCTTGAGAAGAAATGGCTTCCATTCCCATTGCAAGGCCAGAAATGACAGAATAGCCAGTAATATTAGCAATACCAATCGACAGAGACCCTCCTGCCAATGATTCTTTGCCCAATTTGCCCATCAAAAAAATTGATATTGCTGATTTTCCATAGATAAGAATACCAGTAATGATCATAGGCAGGGCTATGGCATAAAGCTGCTTGATCTCTTCAACAACCTGAGAGATAAACAAATTAAGAGAAAAGATATTATTTGGCATTGGATTTATCTCTCTCTTTCTCTCTCTCTCCCCTCTCTCTTACCTACTAAAAAGTAAAAACAAAAACCAAGTACAAAGAACACCAAAGAAAACAAAAAACAAGGAATGGTGGCGTCACTATGGAACTAACCTTTGAAAGTGACGGTCGCCAAGCTTTACACTGGCACTGAAAGGAATCTTGCTTCTCTGGTGAAACATCCTTAACACATTCTTGAGATAATCTATCGTTAATATCCTCATTGAGCAACAATGGAGTAGTAGAACTGCAATAAGCTGCAACTCCCTGATCACTCATTTTAATCAAAATTAAACCTGAAGGATATTTCTTCAAAAAAACATGCAAAAAACAAAAAGGATAAGGGTCTTGGATTAAAAAAAACTAGAAAAAAAGGCTTAATCAATCCAAGCTTCCTCTCCTTTCTAATAGTAGAATTAAGTGTATATACCACTAGCTAGCTAGACTACTGCTAGAGCTGTGTTTTGAGTGTTTTTCCTTTCCTTTATTTTTCTTCGGGGTGTTCCTTTTTTGTTGAGAAAATGAGAAGAGAGTGGAGGGGAGAGAGAGGGGAGGGGGTTTGGGTTAGTTAGGGTTTGGTGGTGAGATATGGACGAGTGTGGTGTGGGGAGGATAAGGGAGAGGAGGAGGCCATGCGGGTGATTCGTCCTTTTCTTTGAAAGGGCGCGTCGGTACGCACAAAGAAAAAAGGAGCTTTTGTTTTGGAAACAAAATGCTGGCAGTCCCTCCAAATGCCAAACATGGAAAGCTGTCAACACATCATCAAACTCTCTATAAATCTCCAAAACATCCACTGTTTTGTCTCTCCATGCCCATGGTCCCTTTTGCCCCGCCCCTCCCCCCACTTCCCTTCTTTCTCTTCCCTTGTTCATTAATCCAGAGGCGCCTCCAACTCCAACAGTACCAATTTTCCTTTTTCTTCTTCTTTTTAGGTCTTTTCTTTGGACTTTAGAGTACCTACTCTCCCTCAGCACGTGCACACTGCACTTCCTTTTCCTTCCCTTCCTACTCATTACATGCTAAATACGCTGAAGGTTTGGGTGAAATTTTCAATGTCAATGTACTAACAGTACTTGTTACAGTTAGTATTTTGAACAGAACAATGCATTTTACAACCTGAATATATATGTTATAGTGGAAAATTGGATCCTTGCGATGGGAGATCCTCTCATTGAACCGTACCATTCTTTTTTTTTTTTTTTTTGAACCTTATCGTGTCATTCAAACAAATAAATTTAAATTATACTATTAAACATTTATTTGGATGAACAATAAAATTTATCATTTATTAAATCTAATGCCAAATAATTGCATTGGATAAAGATTCTCATACGTCAAATTATTTAAAATATCATTTATAAAAAATATATTTCATTCAATTAATGGAAAACCACGCCTTTGTAATTAATATGTATTTTTAAGTTTTTAGAACCCTTGTTAGAATTTGTCTAGTTTTATTAAAAGTTAAGCATCTGTCTCAACAAGAAGAAAAAAAAAAGAGTTGCAATACAAATTTTTTCTTTATATGGGAGACGTATATATTGTTATAGTAATTAACTTAATTTGAAATGTTTGGAGTTAGAAAGAAAGAAAGAAAGAAAGTACATAGGCACCAGATAGAATCAGTGGAATTTTTAGTTGAAATATTTATTGAAATCTGTTAAATGAATAAATTTCAAAATTTATCTCTTGCCAAAGAAAAAGAAATCAATGATAATATTGGCAATCCCTTCAATAATGACGAGAGAAAGAACAAAAAGAAAAAGTCAAGTTAGAGACGGAAAGTATTGGGTAAAATTTTGGAGGGTGAAATGATGAGGGTTTCCCACGTGGCTTTTACAAAAGCTTGCATGCCTTTGTTTTTCATTTTTCTTGCTTTGGAGTTGGAGGAATTGGGATTTTAGAACAAAATTTTGCTCTTCGCATTTGCATTGCATGCTTAGTGTGGAGGGCCATTTATCGAACATGCCTGCCATGAGACGACTGTGCATGGATGAGATCTTGAGGGGAAAAAATCACTTACAATTTTATTTCTATAATTCTGACTACTTTTATATATTCATATTATCATCATCTATATCAATATATTATCTGCTTAGATTTAAATCTAGCTTCTATCCCTTTCGTTTCTCCCTTTCTTTTCTTTTCTCTTCATTTTGTATGTGTGCATATGGAGCTAGGTCATATAAAATGAATAATTAATTTATTATTATTAATATTACATTTTTTAAGGTACATTAAATTTGGAATTCAATGATTGGCTAATATATACAAATATAGGTTACTTAATCTTTTAAATCAAGATAACATGTATCATACTCACAAAAATCATGTATTCAAGATTAACACCAATTAATAACTACTCTAAAAACATTTACATAAAGCCGAACAAACTTATCAATAAAGCCATCCTTTTGATTGATATCTTAATTACTTTGATTTTTTTTTTTTTTTTTTTCAAGGGGGGTAGAGCCCTACATCAATAGGAGGAGAGAGGCTGGGGTTGAACCCTAACCCTATGTCTTTTTTAAGGCTTACTTGGCCGGCCAAGCAGCTGAAGACTTGATATTTTCTTTTTATAATATATTTATATTATAATTATTTTATTCCATGTGAGTGAAGCTTTTAGAATAAATGTTCTGTTGGTGTATTTAAACGTGGTATATATGAGTGGATTAATCATCCATAATCCAAAGTAATCATCTTTCATTAAATAAAAGCTGGAAGAATATTTTTATTTAAATGGATATTGCTTGTTGTTGGTGAAAGTATTTGACAAATTCAAGAAAAATTCAGGACCCCCTAGTTCCTACATTATTGACATATATATCTCATTCATATATTTCTATTCATTTTAGGCACTTTGCACCGTTCCAAGGTCTTCATTATCTATAGCCCCCGCATGTCCCCAAGTGAGTGTAAAATGTGATCAAATTATGGGCTACCAATTACCATTTTCATTTCTTAATTATATATATATATTATATTTTATTTCTTTGTGGCATGACCATCGACGGTGATAAAACTAGAAAAGAAAAATACATTTGAGGAAATATAATTGTAGAAAAAGAGAAAAAAATTCCATTTGGTGTAAGAAAATGTTTTTTGTTTTTATTTTTTATTTTTGTTTTCTAATGATTATAAAAGTAATTATGAATGGTTATTAGATTAACAAATTTTTTATTCTCATATATTTCTATTCTTCTTACCAAATATGTATTACTATTACAATATAAGAGAGCAGCTAATTGTTTCCAGCAAATGAGAGTCAAAATACGCCTATTGTTTCACTATAGAGTGAATTATTTATTCTGAATACGAGACAAATTAAAAGAACTAAAAACAAAAAAAAAAAAATCTTTTCGTTGAGACATACGTTTAATTTATAAAATATTATTCATTTTGATTAGAAATGTCACAATTATATTGAGTTAAAGTCTTTATACTTATAATTTCATCTATGAATCATGACATCAACCAAGAAATTAATCATTCTTTTATGGTCCCTATTCATGTATAATCATTCTTGCTAATTAATCGACCGTGGGCGCCTACAAATTAAACCATGGTCTTCAAATAAAGCAATAGGGACCACGACAAAATGGCCACAACAGCCAGGCCATGACCCCTCTTTTATTTTTGGGTTAGTTGATTTCTTTCAATCTTTCCATTGCTGGTAAAGAGGATAGCGTGGTGTAGGGACAAAGGAAAGGCTCTTAATATTATACAAATGCAAGAGTCATTTCTGTCTCCTTTCTTCCCCTCTATTAGACATGGCCTCAGTCCTTTATTATATATAAAGAAAGTTGTTTCTTTGATTGGAACTCCCTCAAAATGGGTTCTTATTGCGCAAAATGGGAAAGATATTTCTTAACTGACTGATGATATCCAATTGAAACTTCTAGCTATAAAGAGGGTGACCCACAATTTCCCTGATTCATTCAATTCCCAATTTCCAAAGCTCTTGCTGTTGGGACCCTGCCACATGAGATCCCATGCAAAAGCCAATTGATCCCCCTCCTTCACTGTTGTTTTGTTTGAGTAAATTTTAGGGAATCTTAATCTGTATTTTAATAGCTAATTCAATCATAATTTGGGGTTTTTAGATTTTCTTTTCTTTTGCCACAGTAACTTATTCCTGTTGTCTTGACCTTTCTTCTTAGTTTCAACAATTTGCATCAGTACTACAAACTAAGATATTTCCTTCTTTTATATGCCCGACCTGTTTACTTACTTAATGAAGGGAATTGCCTTCATTTAAAGCTTCTATAATACTTTGAAGTTTGAGATAAGGATGGCGTTGGTTCACCAAAATATCTGCCATGGTTATTTTTTTTACAATGATTAGAGCTAATGAATTAAACAGATGATAAGTTCCTTCATCTTGCGTTACTTCCATATTCTTAATCTAACCTATGGAAAACTTATTAGTAAGGGTAACTACCTTTTTAAAGAGCTTTCAAATGAATTAATATTGCTTGATTCTTCTTCTTTTCAGAAGAATATTTCTGTTTTCCATATTTAGTGCTTCCCATCATATTAAGTTATTAACATTTATTATGTAATATAAGCTACTGATTTTTTTTATATGGGTAACGAAAGTCATAATATAACTTATTTATAAAATACTAAACATTTAATTTTAATAATCAAAATTCAATCCTTAATCATCTCAAATATTGAAAATAAATTAAGTTATAATATAACATGAAAGTATTGAGCTATATAAAAAAGTATTTTAAATAAAACTCTCAAAATTTGTAAAGTAGTTAGATCTAGGGAATGTAATTCAAATATCCCTGGCAGGGCAAATGAGACGCACAAAATTAATTTCTCTAGAAAATGGGCAAATGATCAATGGGTCCTGAGATAAAGCTTGGCCATCAAAGACCTAATGTTAGGTTAGAGAAGCATAAACCTAATGCATGAATGGCCAAGAAAGAAAAAGAAAGAAGCATAGAATCTACTACTACTATCTGAGTGCAATTTTTTACCCCTTAAGTTATTTATATTGCTAATGTTTTTGGGCCCATAATGAAAATAGAACATCATAGTGTCATTTCAATCAATTTCTCAGCCTCTTCTTTGCATAGCTACTCATTTGTTCCCTGACAGTCCTTGCTTTTGGCAAGTGGGGCAAAGCCAACATCCATTCGAACTGCGGCCCAATGGCATGACTTTAGCTAAATATATATCAGGGGGCCTTAAATCAGCTAATCCTTAAATTCAAGGACGACCGATTTGAAACTTGCAGACAAACAATTATTACATGGCGGCCCAGCCCAACCATAAATCTTTCGAACTGCATTTTACAAGGAAAGAAATAATAAAGATTAATTTGAATAAACGGTGAAATTAATTTTAATAAAATTAAAAATAATAATAGAAATAAAATTAATTATTATAATGATAAAATATAAATTTAAATATAAAAACAGTGATAACAGTGAGATAAATTATTATTAGAAGAAACAATAACTATTAAAAATATTAATCTAAAAATATAATAATAAATATTCTTATATATATTTTAATATATTTAACGTTTAACATTTTAAAATTTTTATTGAAATATATAAATGATTTATTATATAATTATAATAATGTTATATGAAAAACTTTAAATAAAAAATGAAAACTATAAATAACAAAAAAAAGACATAGGGTAATCTCCTATCTACACTATACATTGGAGGGTAAAAAAAAAGAAAAAGGATAGTAGAGGCATAAGAGGAAAGAAGAGATGCAATGGAGTTGTTGATTTTCCACCAAACCTTTAAGCTCTAGTTGGGATTAAAGGCTTCAGTAGGATGAAAAAAAATTGAATCGTGCTGGATAGGTGATCTAAACAATTTTCACTGACGATTGAAGGTATGAATCATACCATGTTGGGATCCATTGGTGATCCACATGCCGCCTAAGATGGCTTTGGTCCTTGCAACTGAAAATTATAAGAATCATGAAGCTGCGGGGGGTGCATTCCTGGATGCACACTTGAACCCTTTCCAAATTGAGTATGCAAAGATGGTAAGAAGCCTATATCTAAAAACACGAGATTGCCATAAACTATTACATGAATGATGTTCAATGTCAATGTCCCAACAACAACTCATCCGCTACATGATATGTTGAGCACCGTAAATGCTGTAAAGAGTTCTAAAATGCAACCAGCAATGCCATAGATTACCATTTTCACTTGGAACAACAATATTTACTGATCCCTGATGTAAAGTGCAAACCGTTGGGCATCTTTGTTAACCTAAGCTATTTCAAGGATTAAAAGTAAAAATTTCACCCACGTCAAAATGTTTGAAAATGGAGAAATAGAAAAGAAATTGAAAAGGAAAATGGAAAGAATCGAGGAAGAAGCATACCACTTGAAGTTCAGACAACTCAAAAAATAAGGGCACCGAAGGATTGCTAACGAAAACACACTGCAAGGTAGTTATGTGTTAAATATTAAAAAAGCACAATTTCATAGTGCCTCAAATCACTGGGTATAATCTATATTTTATCCAACAATCATAAATCAATAGTATCTTACCTCTATAATAAAACTGATAAAAGAGGAAAAAGTTTCTTAGATAACAAAAGAGCATAGCATAATAGGATGCATAGTTTGTTTATGTTAATTAGTTTTTTTTTTTTTTTTTAAGATTAATGTAACTTAGGTCTTATTTATAAACCACTGAAAATTTTTATTACATTGAAAATAAAACACTTTTAATTCTTTCAATATGGTTGATAACACGTTTTAAAATTCACTTTAATTTTTTTTAATAAAAAATATTGAATAAGATAAGTAGATATAAACTTATTTATCACTTAATACAGAAAATGTTGAGTAAAATTTTCTTTGAAATTTTATTGAATTATTATCTCCTACTAATACTGTTTCATTATTTGCAATAAAAATAAAAATAAAAATGAAATGATAAAATTTCAGAATTTAATATTTTACAAGTATCAAATAATATATTCAAATGTGGATCAATTTACATAATATAAAACTAAAAAAAATTTACAGATTTTGTAATCCTTTATTTTAATAGACCGAATAAATGAGAGAAACAAATAAAAAAAAAAATTAATCTCATTTTTTAAGATTTATTGAAATTAATAATTAAAAAAATACAAAATAAAAAAATTTATATTATGTAAATTAATCCCTTCGTATATATTTATATTCAATTTTTAATTTTTAATAAAATATCAAATAATTTGTATAATTCAAATTTAATACTTAATTTTTCAGTTTATCAAATTAAACATTAATATTTTTAAAAAAATGACAATAATAAACACTTTCGACTAACAACCGAAATTTAGTAATCTACGGTCCGAAGTACAATCAGCGAACGTGTAGAAAAAAGAACATATATACACTTTCAAAGTCGGTAAAACACATGCAAGCAAAGGCGATAAATAATCGGGGCTAAAATATAAATAAATATAAATAGAGGGGACAAAAAAGAAACCATTCCTTTTTTATGTTTTCTCTCCTGCTTTTTGACTCGCTGCTCGTGTTCTTCTGTTGTACGGAGTTGATAGGCATTTGATTTGTAATTCGTGCGGCGCACGTTAGCTGCCGCCGTATCTATCCTACGCCCCAGAGGTAAGTCCTAAACCTGCACGCCCCTTTCTTCTATTTTTTTCTTTTGAAAATAAAAATAAAAATAAAAATTAGCATAAACCCTAATTAGAAACTAGAATCTCTCTCTCGCTCTCTCTAGCCATTTAATATTCCCCTTCTCATTCCGTACCTACAGTAAGATTGATCTATTTTGTCAATTTATTAGTTTTTTAAAAAATTATTTTGATCAGGGAGTTTTGCTGGTTTGGATTGATTTTATTATCTGATCATCAATTTGCTACGAGAGATCTGCTGAGGGAAGTGAAATCTAGGCTTAGGGTTTTGATGCTTTGGCGGGGATCATCGGCCGTCGAACAGGTTAACAGTTCGGGTCGGACCCTCCGATGGCAAATTCCGGAGTTGGGAATAAGTTTGTTTCAGTCAATTTGAACAAGTCCTATGGCCAACAACCATCTAAGCATCTGTACCAATCACATCATTCGGGTTCTTATGGGTCAAATCGGGCACGACCGGGTGCTGGCGGTGGAGGAGGGGGAGGAATGGTGGTTCTTTCACGGCCTCGTAGCTCCCAAAAGGCTGGGCCCAAATTATCTGTTCCACCCCCCTTGAATTTACCATCCTTGCGAAAGGAACATGAGCGGTTTGATTCGTTGGGCTCCAGTGGCGTGCCTGCCAGTGCAGGGATTTCTGGGAGTGGGCCAAGGCCTACTTCGTCCGGGATGGGATGGACTAAACCCGTTACAGTTGCTCTGCAGGAGAAAGAAGGGTTGGTTGGGGGTGGTGATCATGTCAATGATGGGTTTGATCAGGGCTTGAATACTGGTGATGGGGTCAGTAGGGGAAGTAGTGGTGTTTATTTGCCGCCTTCGGCTAGGTCAGGTGTGGCAGGACCAACGTCCTCGGTGCCTGCTTCATCTCAAGGTTTTCCGCCTTTGGATAAAGCGACAGTGTTGAGGGGAGAGGATTTTCCTTCGTTGCAAGCAGCTTTGCCTGTCGTATCCGGGGCTGAAAAGAAACAGAAGGATGGTTTGAATCAGAAACAGAAGCAATTGGCAGTTGAGTTGTCTAATGAGCATAGGGATGGTTCTCGCTCGAGTTCAGTTATTGATATGCGTCCTCAATTGCAGTCGGGAAGAATTGCTGTTGGCAATGGATTGAGTGAGAATGGTGGTGAAGGTCATGGAGTAGGTGGTTCTCGTTTATTTGCGCCAGGCAGGAAACAGGATGAGCACTTCCCGGGGCCACTTCCATTGGTTCGCTTGAACCCAAGATCTGATTGGGCTGATGATGAACGTGATACAGGTCAGGTTGTAGACCGCGGGAGGGATCATGGGTATTTGAAAAGTGAAGCTTACTGGGATAAAGATTTTGATATGCCAAGGGCTGGTGTGCTGCCACACAAACCAGCACATAGTCTTTTTGACGGGTGGGGACAGAGTGACAATGAAACTGGACGAACTCCTTCCAGTGAAGTCGCTAAATTGGACCTTTATGGTAGAGATGCAAAACTACCAGGCAGAGAAGGGCGGGAAGGAAATTCATGGAGAGCATCTTCCCCTCTTCCTAAAGAGGGAATTGGTTCTCAAGAGATTGCAAGTGACAGAAATAATATTGGCACAAGGTTTTCAAGTATGAATAGAGAAAAGGAGATTAAGTACATTCCTTCCCCTTTCCGAGACAATGCTCGGGATGATATTGAAAGGAAGGATGTGGGTTATGGAACTGGAGGAAGACAAGCTTGGAACCACTCAACAGATTCATTTAATTATAGAGAATTTGAGAGGAATACAAGGGAGCGTTATGGCAATGAAAAGTACAATAGATACAAAGTTGATTGTTTCCAGAATAGCTCTTTATCAAAACCGTCTTTTCCTTTGGGTGGTAAAGGACTTCCTGTTAATGATCCTATACTAAATTTCAGTAGGGAGAAACGTCCTTTGTCCAAGAATGAAAATCCTTATCTAGAAGACCCTTTCATGAAGGACTTTGGGGCTTCTGAATTTGATGTACGGGATCCTTTTTCTGGAAATCTTGTTGGGGTCGTTAAGAGGAAGAAGGATATGCTTAAACAAACTGATTTTCATGACCCTGTCAGGGAATCATTTGAGGCTGAACTAGAGAGGGTGCAGAAGATGCAGGAACAGGAGCGGCAGCGAATTATTGAAGAACAGGAAAGAGCATTGAAGCAAGCTCGTAGAGAAGAAGAGGAGAGACTAAGGTTGGCAAGGGAACAAGAAGAGCAGCGGATAAGGTTAGAAGAAGAAGCAAGGGAAGCTGCATGGAGAGCAGAACAAGAGGGGTTGGAAACCTTGCGAAGGGCAGAAGAACAGAGAATAGCCAGAGAAGAGGAAAAACGCAGGATTGTTATGGAGGAGGAAAGGAGAAAGCAGGCTGCTAAACAAAAACTCTTAGAGTTGGAGGAAAGGATTGCCAAGAGGCAGGCTGAAGCAGCGAAGGGTGGTAGTAATTTTTCTACTGGAGCAGATGAGAAAATTCCGGTGACGGCAAAAGAGAGAGATGTATCAAAAGCAACAGATGTGGGTGATTGGGAAGATGGTGAAAGGATGGTGGAAAGAATCACAACTTCAGCATCTTCTGATTCTTCTGGTCGCAACAGACCCTTTGAAATGAGTTCTAGGTCTCAATTCTCTAATGCTTCTTTTACATTTTCAGATAGAGGTAAGCCCCTTAATTCATGGAGGAGAGATGTATTTGAGAATGGAAACAGCTCAGCCTTCGCTGGGCATGAGACGGAGAGTGGGCACCATAGCCCAAGGCGTGATGGATCTATTGGGGGTGGACCATTTCCAAGGAAAGAGTTTAATGGAGCACCTCCATACGTGTCTTCCAGGCCCTACTATAGAGCAGGGGTTCCAGAACTCCATATAGATGATTTTGATCAGACAAAGGGTCAGAGGTGGAACGTTTCTGGGGATGGTGATCATTATGGCAGAAATGCTGAAAATGAATCTGAATACCATGAGAATCTAGCTGAGAATTATGGTGATGTGACATGGGGCCAGCGTTCTCCTGGTAATATTTATCCACCTTACCCTGAAAGATTCTATCACAACCCTGAGGCTGATGGGCTTTATTCCTTTGGGAGGTCACGATGTTCTGTGAGGCAGCCTCGTGTTTTACCTCCTCCATCTTTGTCTTCAATTCAGAAAACCTCATATAGAGGTGAGAATGAGCGTCCTGGTCCATCAACATTCCTAGAGAATGAGATACGGTACAATCATGCAACAAGAGGTGCATCTGGCATTGAGAGAGTTTATGATAGTGGTCATCAAGATGATCTTGGACAGCATGTAATTATAGATACTCAGCCTGAGAATACTGATAATGAAACGCAGAAAGTGGATGGCAATGCAGCAAGGTGTGACTCACAGTCATCCCTATCTGTTTCAAGCCCCCCAGATTCCCCAATTCATCTTTCTCATGATGATTTGGATGAGTCTGGAGATTCTACAGTGTTATCAGCGGAAGAGGGTAAACAGGTTAACTTGTCAGAGGGGTCCGAACCCCTTCTGTTATCTACTGAAGCTAGGAAAGATAATGTTCGGACTGCCTCAAGCTCTATTTCAGCTGGTGATGACGAGGAATGGACTGTTGATAACAATGATCGGTCGCAGGGGCAAGAAGAATATGACGAAGATGACGATGGATACCAGGAAGAAGATGACGTGCATGAAGGAGGTGATGGCAATATTGACATGACCCGACAGTTTGATGAAATGCATCTAGAGAATAAGGAGTCGCGTGACATGATGGACAATTTGGTCTTAGGTTTCAATGAGGGGGTTGAGGTTGGCATGCCAAATGATGAGTTTGAAAGAAGCTCGAGGAAGGAGGACTCTGCATATGCAACAACACAGATTTCTGTTGGCTCTGTAGAAGAAAAGGTATCTTTCAATGGGATGCATACTGATAGAAAAACCCTTCCGTCCATGGATGCTCCTTCCCAAGGGAGTTTAGATAGTCCTTCTAGAATCTTTCGGGAAACTGAGAAGCCAATGCAGGATCTGGTTATTCAGCCTAATACTGCACCTCAAGCATCAGCTGCGTCTGAGCTAATGGATAATGTGGAAGCTACTGGTAGCACTGGTGTGTTGGCAGAGCATAACCTCCCCTATTCTGTCAGCATGGCTTCCCAGTCATCTTCTGGTCAGAGTGGCATGCCTACTGCTTCTTCTGTTCCTAATCAGGCTGAAGTACCTATTAAGCTCCAATTTGGGCTGTTTTCAGGTCCTTCTTTAATACCATCTCCAGTTCCAGCCATACAGATTGGTTCTATACAGATGCCTCTTCATTTGCATCCTCAGGTTGGCCCATCCCTCACCCAAATGCACCCATCACAACCTCCTCTCTTTCAGTTTGGTCAGTTAAGGTATACATCTCCTATTTCCCAGGGAGTGTTGCCATTGGCTCCTCAATCTTTGTCTTTTGTCCAGCCCAATGTTCCGGCCAACTTCTCCATGAACCAGAACCCTGGAGTCCCTCAGCCTGTTCAGCCTAGTCAAGACACTGCTGGGTATAATCTGATGAAAAACAAAGTTTCTTCTCTCTTGGATAATCAGTCAGGTCTTCCAAGGTCCATGGATTTATCACACGGGAATGTGTTGAAAGAGGAAAGTTCCACACTAGCCAGAGAAAGAAGAAAAAGCGTTGTGACAGAGCATGGTCATGTAGAGATATCAAATATTGGTGATAGCAGAACTAGGTCCGAGTCAGGTTTCCCTTCAGAAGACCAGGGGCACCAGAATTCAGTTCGTAGAAACTTCAAAGTTATGTCTAGTAAACAATCAGAAGGTGAACTGCAAACTGTTCTGATATCATCTCAGTCAGTCTTGAAAGAGAAAGATTTAAGTGGATTAAGGGGCCAAAATTATAGTAATAGGGGGAAAAAGTATGTCTTTACGGTTAAAGGTTCCAACTTAAGATCACCTTTTCTTGCTTCTGAGGCCTCTCACCAAGAGTCTACTGGATATCAAAGGAGGCCCCGGCGTCCTCCAACAGAGTTTAGAATTAGGGAAAATTCTGATAAGAAGCAGTCTTCTGCAATGGCTTCTTCAAACCACCCCAATCAAGTAGGGCTGGATGAAAGCTCAATTGCCAATGGAAGGAGTAGCGGATTTTCTGAAAGAATTGGGGTGAGGAAAGTTGTGGTGAATAAATCGAAACGGACAATTGAATCAGAATGCTCAAATTCAGCTCTGGGCATTTCCTGGGAGATGGATTCTGGGAACAGGAATGAAAAGGGATTGAGAAAAGAATCATTGGTGAGGAATCAGAATATCCCACACCCAGGGGAAGGTAATCTTAAGAGGAATATTGAAGAAGATGTGGATGCTTCTTTGCAAAGTGGCATTGTGCGGGTTTTTGAGCAACCTGGAATAGAAGCAGCCAGTGATGAAGATGATTTCATTCAGGTTAGATCAAAGAGGCAAATGCTGAATGACAGGCGCGAGCAGAGAGAAAAAGAAATTAAAGCAAAGTCCCGGGTTGCAAAGGTTGTAATGCACTTTGAACTAAAACTTTTTCATGACTTACTTTGCAATAAGATGTTTTTCCCCTTTCTTTTTGCTTTTTCAGTTCAATAAGACCATGTCTTTTAACATCATTTATTTTCTTTTTATGACAGCCACCACGAAAAGCTCGTTCAATTCCACAAACTTCCACTGTCTCAGGAAGCTTAAACAGAATTTCTGCTTCAGGAAGTGGAGAAGTAATGGACAATGTTCCCTCTGATTTTGTTGCCATTGAGGGACGTAATCTGGCAAATAGTGAATTTTCTGCAGGATTTGGTGCAACTATAGTATCCCAACCCTTGGCCCCAATTGGTACTCCTGCTATTAAAACTGATGTACAGGCTGATATAAGAACACAGGCAGTGAAGTATATACCTCTCCAAAAATGGCTAATGTACATTTAAAAAATATGCATACAGATTGCTAAATCTGATATTTTCTACAGGTCACTCCAGATAACCCCCCTACCGGCCGCCTCAGGCGGTGGACCAAACATGGTTTCAGACTTCATGTTTGAGGGCAAGAATAAGGTTCTGGATAATGTTCAGACATCTTTGGGATCGTGGAGTAATTCATGCATTAATCAACAGGTATGAATAACTGCATTTACTTAGTAACTTTTGGTAGCAGTTTAATACTGCCCTCTGTTTTTAGTAGATCTGCAAGACTCATGAGGTTCTGATGGTTACTCATTTTTGCCTTTTTGTGCATCTTCTCATATTGAATCCTTTTCCCCCATGTTTTATATTCTGAGTGATCTGACAACATTGCTCCTAGTGCCTATGTTAATTTTATCTTCACTTTGGAATCAGTTTGATTTACATACATGCCCTGTTAACATGCTCAGTTCCTACTTTTTATGGTTGCTTTCGTTCTCTTACTTGAACATCTTTAACTTGGGACTAGACTTCAGTATGTGTGGTGCCTGGATTTATCTTTTTATATGTGTTTGTGCACATCTGCATGCAATTGTGTCTGTGTATTGCTGCACTTTGTTATGTTGTGTTTCCAGGATGCATATAGGCATATTTGATACTATGGTGCTGCAAACTTTAATCTGTTGCTGACTTTGTTTTGTATCATTTTACCTTCTAACTTCAGGCTGTTATATTCTCCATTCTAGATTGATTATGATTGAACCATCATGTATTTTCAGGCTTGTTATTCTGGGTTTATTTATTTAGTTTTATGTTTTTGTCTGAGTTTATTCTAAATTATTGGGCTTGTAGATGCTGGTATTCTTTCTTCTAATTATTTGGACTATAAATCTGAGATAGTCCGAAACTGATTTGGTTGCATCTTGTAGGTAATGGCACTGACACAGACCCAACTTGATGATGCTATGAAGCCTGTTCAATTTGATACTTGTGCTCCTATTGGAGAGCGCACTAGCTCAGTTGCTGACCCCAGCATGCCATCCTCATCCATATTATTGAAGGACAAGTCGTTTTCTTCTGTGGCAAGTCCAGTAAATTCTTTGCTTGCTGGGGAGAAAATAAAACTCGGTTGGTGTTTTCTTTCTTTCTGGTATTATTTAGCTTCTTAGAATTACTGTTGCCTTGTATCTGAATGATATCATCACTTTATACAGGAGCAGTAACATCTTCGACAGTTCTCCCTCCTAGCAGCCGTGCTGTTTCACATGGGATTGGCCCTCCAGGTCCATCTCGATCAGAAATCCAAACCCCCCACAATCTTTCTGCAACAGAGAATGATTGCTCCCTTTTCTTTGAAAAAGAGAAACACTCAAATGAATCTTGTGTTTATTTGGAAGACTGTGAAGCTGAAGCTGAAGCAGCTGCTTCAGCTGTTGCTGTTGCAGCCATAACTAGTGATGAGATTTTAGGGAATGGAATGAGTACTTGCACTGTTTCTGCTTCAGATAATAAAGGTTTTGAAGGTGCAGACATTGATGTTATCACTACAGGTGGTTAACAAAAAAATCTGCTATCACAGTAAGAGCCCTTTATGTTTTTGCTTGTGTAGATGTTAATAACCGTGTTGGCTTCTTTTTTTTTTTTTTCAACTATTTTGCAGATGATGGTGGTCGGCAGCTAGCAAGTCAATCAAAGGCAGAAGAGTCACTCAGTGTTTCTCTTCCTGCGGATCTTTCTGTTGAGAACCCACCAATTTCTTTATGGTCACCAATACCTCATCCACAGAACTCTTCAAGCCAGATGATTTCTCATTTTCCAGGAGGCCCTTCTCACTTCCCTTTCTATGAAATGAATCCTATGATGGGGGGTCCAATCTTTGCCTTTGGACCACATGAGGAATCTTCATCTACCCAATCGCAGTCCCAGAAGAGTAGCACACCTCCTTTGGGTGCCTTAGGAACCTGGCAACAATGCCATTCTGGAGTAGATTCATTCTATGGTCCTCCAACAGGTTTCACTGGCCATTTTATCACCCCACCTGGAGGTATCCCCGGGGTTCAAGGCCCACCACATATGGTTGTGTACAACCATTTTGCTCCAGTTGGACAGTTTGGACTAAGTTTCATGGGTACAACCTACATCCCATCTGGAAAGCAACCTGACTGGAAGCACAACCCTGCTTCTTCTGCAATTGGTGAAGGAGATATGAACAATTTGAATATGGCAGTTTCGCAGTGTAATTCTAACAACATGCCTGCTCAAATCCAGCATCTTGCCCCTGGCCCTGGGTCACCTCTTCTGCCCATGGCATCACCACTCGCTATGTTTGATGTTTCTCCTTTCCAGGTAAAAGTTTTAGCAAACCTAAAGCTATTAAACTGCCAGCATCATGAATTATCACCAGGGTGCTTTTTATTTGGGAGTCCTAGTCCTTTTTTCCCAAATTAAATTGTTTTCTATTCAAAAGTTTGTGGTCTATATGGTGTAGTCATCAGTGCTTTTAAACTGGATTTTATTGGATAGGCGGATGATAAGAATTATCAGAGTTTTTGTTTTGGCATGTGTTGTTGGATTTATGACAGTTTAGACTTTAAATCCCCCTCTCCTTTTTCTCTTGCCCCACTTTTCCTCTGATCTGACTAATACATATCTTGAAACTTCTCCTTCAGTCCACTCCAGACATGTCGGTCCAAGCTCATTGGTCTCATGTTCCTGCTTCACCTCTGCAGTCTGTTGCACCATCAATGCCATTGCAGCAACAGGCAGAAGGTGTACTACCTTCTCAGTTCAGTCAGGGTTCTCCTGTTGACCAGCCATTGACTAGCAACAGGTTCCCTGAGTCCCGAACATCAACATCCTCCAATAGCAGTCGGAAATTTCCTGTGGAAACTGGTGCAACCATCACTCAGTTGCCTGATGAACTAGGGTTGGTGGAACCATCTAGCTCCACCATTACTGAAGCTTCAGCACAACATATTGCTGAGAGCCCGTCCCTCACCACAGTTGCAGATGCTGGCAAGATTGATGTCCAAAACAATAGTGGTGTTAAAAGTAATGGCCAGAGCACAAATCCTGCATTCAAGGCTCAGTCTTCCCAGCAAAAGAATATATCATCTTTCCAGCATTACGGTAACTCTTCCGGGTATAATCATCAGAGAGGAAGTGGGGTTTCGCACAAGAACAACTCCAGTGAATGGACCCATCGTAGAATGGGTTTCCAAGGAAGAAACCAATCCATGAGTGGAGACAAGAACTTTCCCGCTTTAAAGACGAAGCAGATTTATGTGGCTAAACAGACCAATAATGGTACTTCAACGTCATCATGATGTTAGGAAAAACAAGCTTCTCGGACTCAAGTGGAAAGAGAAAATCAAAGAGCGGAGCATTTTTTTTCACCAGATGCAACTTTTTTTTTTTTTTTTCATCTTTCTGGGAAAATCGCTTGGGTTAGTATGGGACTGGTGAGTACTGAGTTTTCCTGATGAAAAATTGCACTACCGGTTGGTGAAGAGCAGTTTTGGTTTTGAGTTTTCTAGTTAGGAAGATATGGATATTTGGTCTTTTGGGGTGGTATGTTAGTTTCAATTGGCCTTATGGACGCGATGTAGTGTTTTTGTGTAAAGGGGCTCTCGATGAATTGATCGGTTCACTCGTTGCTCGAACACTCTTAAAGTGTAATTTTGTTAGGTACATAAATGTCTCTTTGGGATTTAATCATGTATTAAAGCTCTATATATGAAGGATCCAACTGATGTTCTTTCCATCTAAGTCCCTTCATTCATTATTTTCTCTTTTTCTTTAATTGCAATGTGTACTGTCAACCATCTGTAATCCAACAATTTAATCTGGAAAGTAAGTTCAATATTTTTCTTCTAATCAACTGTTACGCGGAGACTCGAATGAAAATTGAGGAGTCAAACAGTAAGACCTGTCGGCCTCTCTTTGCGCTTTGATCCCTACATCTTTACACGCTTTGTACGTGCATCATGCTAAGAAATTAATAAAAAAAAAAGAGAAGCAGTCCTTCATCTGACACCTATACTTTGTTTTGAGACATTCAGTCAGCAAAGCTCCCTTACACGTGGCATGCTCGTACCTTACGCTTCAGCTGCTGCGGCTGCTTCTTCTCCTTTTCTTAACCTGCTGTTTTTTTTTCTAGAACATGTGAATTAGTGGGATTTGCTTTCCTTAAGCATAACGCTTACATAGTCTAAGAATTTAGAATTTGAAACATGATTTTGGTAATTACCCATACATAAAAAGGAATGTTTCCATCCATTTAGCGTAAACAAACATTATATACTAAGAAGTGATTTATTAAACTAATTAAAAACAGTTTACATTAATCCTCGTCCCCGCTGCCTCCCTTACAAAAGTGAGTAAACTTACCAAAATTTTGTTTTATTTCATTAATTATTATATGCCAAAATTATATACAGGGGAGGAAGGTAGCAGCCATTAATCCATCATCATTAGCTCCCTTAACTCCTTCTCTGAAAATATTTCCCATGCTTCTTCATCTTTTTCTTTACTACTCTCTCCTTTTTCTCCATTGCTCTTGTCTTCCTCTTCCTGAGTTTCTTTCTTCTTTTCTCCCTCTTCTTCTTGTTGCTCCATTTTGTAATCTGATAATGGGAAATTGACCTTTGCTTTATCTCCACGGAACCTAATAGCCGCCCTGTCATAAGCCCTGGCAGCAACTTCCGCCGTGTCGAACGTCCCCAGCCAAACCCGAACTGCCCTTTTCGGGTCTCGAATCTCCGCCGCCCATTTCCCCCATGGCCTGCGCCGTACTCCCCTGTAATGCTTCCTGTTGTTGTAGTTGTTCCTGTTTGTTGAGACTCCAACTGGTTGTACTTCTTGTTGTTGGCTTGGCGGGAAAATACTGTTGAAATATTCATTATAGCCGTTAACTTTCAGTGGAAGACACGTGTCGTTAAAAGTAAACCCATTGTTGGTCCTAGTACCTGAACTTAACACAGACGTGGAAGGCTGTCCTCCGTTGATTACTTGCATAAGGGTAGAGACCATGATTTCATGTTCCTGATCACGAGTCAATGCCAAAGCTCTTTGGTGGGTTTTGTTGTAATTTTCCATGACGTAAAAGGTGCTTTGGGAAACTAACAGCTGTTGAATTGGATTTGCAAATTGCAACTACAGAAGAGCGCTCTGTCGAGGGAAAATGCTTATATAGGGAGGGAGCGAATGCCAGCTGTAAGTTACTCACACGCGAATTGAGGCACGTGAGACACTTTCTTTTAAGGATTTGGGTTAGTTGGGGCCAGTTAATGCCATAAATGATCTTTTCGCTTGCGTCATCTTCAGGCACGCTCCTTTTAAGCGGCTTTGCCAGAAAAATATGTCGTGGCTCAACTTGTGCTTGACAGCGCAGCCTATGCTGTTATATGAAATTCCTGACTCGTCATTTGACTTAAGTAATATATTCATTGGCTTAATCAAATATTAAATTAATCAAGTGGCATTAATCAAATTTGAAAATGAATTTGAAGTCTTCCAAACAAAGTCGAATCAGGCATATTAAGCCAAAAGCTTTGGAGCTGCCATCAGCCATGAGGTCAAGTCACCAACATCGATCCCAGCCGACATTCGCCTCCTCAATGTGGTACTCCGATGTCATGGTATAGTAATATGTTGGTGCCCCCTGTCAGAACTTAAGCACAGAGGTTTAATTTAAGTTTGATACCTCGTCCGACCGTATATTCCAACCATCCCTTTCATTCTTCATTTTTTTTTCTCCGCCAAAACCATTCCATGTGAAAATGGAGGCTTTGATCTTTTTACATCTTCGCCGGCCATTTTTAGGGCAGAGTAAATTTCGATTAAAATAAAAAATAATAATAAAAATTAAAATTTTAGAACATCGCATATACCGGCTTGAGTCTTTCAGCCTAATTGGTCGAAAATGGTTGGGAGCTCACTGCCTTGTGATTAGTGTTGAGAAAGCTCACACGCCTAGCAGTGGGCATTCTTGAATATAAATTATAATTAATGGCTTTTCCAATTTTGCTTGACTGGTAATGGCATGATCATTGTTTTCTCGAAATTCTGGCTTGCATGTTTGAGTTTCTTATTTTCTATTTTATTCTTATTTTTTTATTTTTTTTTAGGTAATGCAATCATGGTTCATTAGTTTGCACTTTGTACCTCAATCAGGAAGAAAAGAGTATTGTTGTTATCTGCTGGATAAAATTGAATGTTTATTTGAGACGTGAACTTTATGGATTGTAATTGATGGAGTATTGTTATTGCTACTAGTGCCTAGATAAATTAAGTTTATGTTTATGGATTTTTATAGATTGTTAGTGCTAGATAAATTATGGATGTTATTAAGTTTGTGTTTTTGTTATATTTATTATATTTTTATGAATATTGTTAACAATGTTTGAACTTATTGGATTATGCATGAGTATTTGAATACTTAACAACCCTTACATGAATTACGTTGAAGGTTCAACATAGGAAACAAAAACCAAAACCGGACTAACCTAAGTAAACTGATTGAAACCAATAAGCTTAATTTAGTTTAATTTTTCGTTTTTTCTTAAATACATTGGTCAGTTTGATTTTTATAATAGACTTAAGTTGGTTAATTCGCATTATCTGATTTTTACAATGAATAATTCGACTAACTGTTTACTCTACCCTAACCACTTTTGCCCATTTAATCCGTGTTGTAAAATGTAACCATTTGCTTTTTGTTTTTTTTCATCAGGTTGCATCATTATTACCTTTTTTCTTATCATATCATGTCGCCACTTCACCTCCAACTGTCATTTCCTATTATGGGTTGTTTCTACTTTACTAGTTTTAGAAAGAAATAATGGCTTGGTTAACCCAAAAATTGTTCTCAACTTAGTCCAAGAATGTAGATGTTGATAGCTCGAAAACTATTTCTTAACTCTCTAAATATGGCAATTTGAATTGAATTACTCCTTTTTTCATGGGCTGTTTAATCTTCTAAACAATGGAAAAATAAACTGTTTTTTGGACCAAGCCTTCTGATGGCATTAGTTCACATGACGCTCAGTGAAAAATAGAGATCACCTTATAAATGGCCTGGATTGACTTTCATTTAATGTTAACATATTTTAAATATGAGACAACTACTAATCATGGTGTTTTTAGGCTACTATTAGTTCACATAGAGCTGGTGGATCACCTTTATAGACCAACATGGTTTTGTCTTCTATAAACTTTAAAGAAAATGCTAATCAGATGTTTTTTTTTGCTATCATTGTTCACATAGACTTATTAGTATCACCTCTGACAAGGCCCAACTGTGCACCTTTATTTACTTTTAGCATATTTGTGTCAGACAATTTGTCTTCTTAGCTACTGTTAGTTCACATTGGAGCTTTGTGGATCACCTTCAACATGGTCACGTGTTGTTGTTTACTTCACCTTGACATTCCATTTACCATTAGCATACTTCAAAGTACAGCTAATTGTGATGTTAATCTCTAAACTAGGACTAAAACAGAGGACTTTTGTTTAGTAGTTCCTTCCTTGAGATAAACCTTAAACTATATTGATATCTTCCCACTTTTTAACTATTACATTAGATAATGTGAAGTCATTAAGATTTTTTTGAATTTTAATGGGTATTATTTAAGATCATCTAAAAAATTCTCTTTCTAAGTTTAGCATTCCCATGGATTTTACAAGCACGTAACAAAGATTCAAGTGTACCTATAAGCTAGAGAAAGTTTAAATGAAAGTCTATGAATTATATCATAAGCTTCATACAAGTGATCAATTTGCCTAGCCTCAAGGTTAATCATACAAGCATAATGCTTTGTTCTTATAGATACCCCATCTTCAACCATAGAATTGATCAATACGCTCTGGCCTACCTTAATTAAATCAACATGGCTACAAGTTACAAGCTGATAAAAAGACTTAAATAAGTAATGGCATAAGGGTTCACCCTTGAAAGTTGCATTCTTGAGAATAGTTCGAGGGCACTTCTAGCATCACCATTCAATCTGTATCCATTAATCATCCCATTCCAAGAGACAACATCCTTTTTAAGCAAGTAGTCAAACTGCAACGCTCAACTATAATGTTTCCACATCTTGCATATAAATTTATTCGATCTTTACTAATCACCACATCATTGTCAAAGTTCATGTGTATCACATAGGCCATCACAAAAGCTGCTAGATTTATGCTATAAATATATATTTATATTTATATTTATGTTGGAACATTTTCAAAATAATAAGTCATATGAATTACATATGATGATGAATAGTTATATTTTTTTACAAGACATAATTATTTACTAAAAGTTATCTTACAAAAAAATGGTATCTATAAAAATAGGCATATTTATGGACAATTATATTTGTATAAAGAGACTTCTATTTAATTATAAATAGAACTCTTCTGGTTTTGAAAGAGATAAGACAAAAAATATCATTTACGTATAAATATTCTACATATGAAACAAAAGTAAAAAAAAGCCCTACAAGTTTTTTATAGCTAAATCATATAATTTTGTTCTTATGACGTTGAATACTCAGTGGATTAATTTCATCAACGCAAAACGTAATCAATCATTAGACTTCATTTTATCTTTGAGATTTATTGTCAATAACTTTTTTGCATAGGTGGGGGGTGAATAAAATCTTAAGAAAAGTGTCACTGTTACATGTCTTGAAACCTTTCCTTAATTTTTCACGTTTTTCCAAACCCTATGTTCCTACAATCTTAGGATTTTATTTTTGTAAGTTTATACGAAATTGAAGAAAGTGACGGTAGATAAAGACAATATCTTCAAGATTAAAATAAAAATTTATTCATGTTTGTTTTATTTATTTAAATGAATTCTTTTGGGTCAATAAATCATGGAATAATGTATGTCAATACAATAAAATCAAGAAATTTCTTGTTGGATGAATCATATTTCATGTTTATCTTTTCTTATAATTTGGGTCGAAATTTAATTAATTGAGAATTCCAAGAATTCCTTAGAATGGATACAAAATTATGGTAAGTCTTGATGTAAAAATTAATAGGATGAAGTTTTTTTTCTTATATGTATAAGAAAGATATGATGGAAATAGCATTTCCATCCTCTATCATCCAGTTAATACATGACTATTTTTAAGGTCTATGGAGATAAATTTTTTATGCTTAGGAAAATAGCTATTTGCAAACTGCTAAGTTGAAAGTTTGTCACACCACCAATGACTGGTTAGAATGGAGATATTCGATTTTTGTGACCCTCTTTCATTAGCAAATAAAGAATTATGCTTTAAATGCTATGACATCTAAAGTAGAGTTAAATACTTTATCTCGCCCAGAAGAGGTAAACATAAAAGATCTCTTCCAAAGGTTATAGTTATTGAAAGAAAAGTCAATGGAGTAAAAGCATCCCAAGTATCAATGCCAACTTTCCATGTTTATGAATGATAAAAGAAAGAAAGCAATTCCATGGAAAACATGAGCAAGATTTGCTAAAAATACATAAAGTTTGTTTGAATGCAAACAAAGATTTATATAATTGTAATGATATATGACATTTATGTGCATAGAATTTAAAAGAAAAGCGCATAAGTTTCGTGGCAAAGATGTGTGATGATTATGTACTATATGTGGGCTAGATAATGATGTTGGCTTTTCAAAGCAATAAACCTTAGATTTGGCCATTCAATGAGTTATCATTGTGAACTTGCTGTAAGTTTTTATTTGAATAGTGTTATACAACAAATTTGACTGTGAAAAGACTTGAAATTATAGTTAAAATATTAACGGACTCTAATTGCGCATAAGTATATTGGTGCTATGAGTAAGGTTTGAATTTATTATATCTAAAATATTATTATGACCCATTGGGTGATGGATATATCTTTGATAGAAGCATAAAACAATTAATAATGTCCATGGTAAAATGTGTATATATATATGTATGTATGTATGTATGACATTTTATAGTCACTTGATAAACCCTTTAATAGTATTCTAATATGACTATTATAAAAGGATATATGAAATATCCTTATGTACATATGTAATTTATTGACAAAAGTCATGTTAATTTTTTTATATACACACAATAAGTTTTAAGTTTTAAATTGATTATGATAAGAAGCTATGAAATATAACAATATGATTATTTTGTTTCACCTAGTGATTTGAAGCCTTT